CATTTAAACCCAGGGTCAGCGGCCATACCAAGAGGGACCACACAGCTTTGGCAGAGTAGGTTGTGACCACAAGGCTTGGGCGAGAGTTAGGACCATGTGGCTTTAGGGTGCTCCCGTTTTCCACGTGGCTTAGGCATCAGGAGACACTTTGCCTGGAAGGAAAGGGGTGAAAGGACTCTTGCTGGTGGCTCATGAGAAGGTGCCACATTGCTTTGGATTAACTGGAAATTGTGGTGGCGACACAGCGGATGGTGCCAGAACCGAGGGGCTGCCTGAACCACAGACTTTTGCTTCTTTCCCTGAGATACTGTACCCTGGACTGGGCAAAGGGAAGAAGAAAGAACCTTGTCCATTTGTGGGTATTCTAAAGAATTTTGGTAATTTAATGAAGACATTAAGTCATTACTCTAAGTCTGTATAACTTTTAAATAAAGAATTCCTTCCCTTTTCACCAGTCTCTGGTATTAAGAGACGTCTTTCCCCTGGCAGTGGGCAAAGCGAACCTAGTAGATAGGGGGGAACCCTTGTTGAAAAGGGGGGATCCTTCTGGTAATAGTAGATCGTTCACGCCCCCCAGGTCTGCTCTGTAACACTACCACCACCATTTATCCCCCTTTACCCTCTCCTACCTCCCCTCCCCTCCCTTCCCCTCTGGTCACCACCCTCTGCACCCAGCCCTGCCCAGCCTTTCCCCTCTGACAGCGGTCAGTCTGTTCTCTCTGTGGGCGTCAGATTCTACTTTGTTTGTGTTGCTCATTACATTCCACATGTGAGTGAAATCATGGTATTTGTTTCCTCTGACCAGCTCATCTCACTTGGCTTAATGCTCTTCAGGACCATCCATGCTGTCCCAAAAGGGAAGATTTCTTTCTTTTTTATTCCCAGTTGGTATTCCATTGTGCAAATATACCACAGCTTTTTTATCTACTCATCTACTGACGGGCACTTGGGCTATTTCTAAATCTCAGCTATTATGAATAACTTTGTGATGAACATAGAAGTGCAAAAAAAATAAATCTTTTAAAAAAATTAACCACCTCAGGCCTCGCCAGGTGGCTCAGTTTGTTGGAGGGTCGTCCCATCACCAAGAGGTTTTGGATTTGATTCCTGAGCAAGGCATGTCCCTAGGTTGTAATTTTGATCCCCGGTCCGGGCATGTACAGGAGGCAATTGATTGATGTTACTCTTTTTCTCCTTCCCAAACTGTGGCTCTTAAAAGCAAAATCAATAAATATATGCTCGGACAAGGATTAAGAAAAAAATTCACCATGCCGAATTACCCTCCGCTACTTCCTAGTGTGGCCTGGGCAAGGTCTCAGAAGGTCCAGGTCCCCAACTTCTCACACTTCCTCCCCATCCTCTGCCACCAGCGACCCTACTGAGCAGCCACTCCATCTGGCCATTCTCCATGACCATCACCACAGCCACCACCACTCTGACTTGGGAATTCGGGGCGTCACCTCCCCTGGCTGTACCTGCCCACACAGGAGGAAGCTGGCAGGCCCTTGACCCCCTCCCTGCAGGAGAGACCAGGCTGGACCCTCGCACAGGGCTCCCCTGGAAGCTCAGGCTCTCAGAGGCTGAGGGACAAGCGAGGAACCCATCCACACTGCTACCAAAGGGGGCCATGCGCCGACTCCCAGGCTGAGATGTCAGCCTCCATGTGGGGGTTCCAGAAGGGCCCGTGCTTGCCTGGTTGCTGCCAGGCTCCCTCCGGTTCAGGGGCCCAGCTCTGTGAGGCCCAACAAGCAGGAGGCTGACACGCAGGAGGAGGGTTCCCACCTGGTGCAGTCTAAGACCCCCCAACAGGAGAGGGAGCTTGGGGGTCAGACCCTGTGAGTGTGGTGACCTCCAGCCTCTAATTCCAGGGAGCAAATCTCCCCTGGGACAAGACCCAGGCTGTCAGCAGCTCTGGAGGGACCAAAGGTCAGTGCCAGCTCCACCCCACCCCCAAGTGCCCCAGTAGCACGGGTGCTTAAAGGTGGAGGTGGCTCACCCATTACCCCCTCCGAGTGAACCTGCCTCTGCAGTCTAGCCTAAGCTGCATCGGCAGAGCTGACTGGCCTAGTGAGGTCACCTGTTCTCTGTTCACAAGCTGAAGGACCTTGGGTGGTTTTAAATTTTTTTTTGCATTTTATTTTTTAGTTTATTTTTTGATTTTGCTGTTACAATTGTTGCATTATTTCTCCCCTTTATGCCCCTCCTCTTGGTACTCTCTTTCCCTCTAGCACTTCTCCCCCTTAGTTCATGTCCGTGGGTCGGACGTGAAAGTTCTTTGGCTTCGTTTTCTGTTCTATTCTTAACCCCCACCCCATCAACTGTGTGCCTACCTGTTATGCTTCTTATTCCCTGTACCTTCCACCCCCATTCTCCCCTCCCTCACTGATAACCCTCCCCATGATCTCCATTTCTGTGATTCTCTCCCTGTTCTCGTTGTTTTCTTAGACTATTTATTTTCTTAAGTTCAGTTATTGATAGTTGTGAGTTTGTTGTCATTTTATTATTCATAGTTTTGGTCCTCTTTTTTCTTAATAAAGATAAATCCATTTTACAGTTTACCTAATAAGGGCTTGGTGATAAAGAACTCCTTTAACTTGACCTTATCTGGGCAGTACTTTACCTGCCCTTCCATTCTAAATGATACCTTTGCTGGATAGCTGTCGGAGGTAGGTCCTTGCCTTTCATGACTTGGAATACTTCTTTCCAGCCCCTTCTTGCCTGCAAGGTTTCTTTTGAGAAATCAGCTGATAGTCTAATGGGTACTTCTTTGTAGGTAACTGTCTCCTTTCCTCTTGTTGCTTTTAAGATTCCCTCCTTATCTTTCATCTTGGCTAATGTAATTATGATGTGTCTTGGTGTGTTCCTCCTTGGAACCAAATTCCTTGGGGGCACTTTGAGGTTCCTGGATTTGCATATCTAGTTTCTTTGTCAGATTTGGGAAGTTTTCCTTTATTCTTGTTCAAATAAATTTTCAATTTGTTGCTCATCCTCTTCTCTTTCTGGCACCCCTATGATTCAGATGTTAGAACACTTAAAGTTGTCCCAGAGGTTCCTAAGCCTCTCCTCATTTTTTGAATTCTTGTTTCTTCATTCTGTTCTGAATGAATGATTATTTCTTCCTTTTGTTCCAAATCTTTCATTTGAGTCCTGGTTTCTTTCTCTTCACTGTTGGTTCCCTTTATTACACTGTGTGTAGCCTTCACTCTTTCCTCTGTTTTGGAACCCTATTCAACCATTTCTGTGAGCATCCTGATTACCAGTGTTTTGAACTCTGCATCAGATAGGTTGTCTATCTCTTCATCACTTAGTTGTTTTTCTGGAGTTTTGATCTGTTCTTTCATTTGTGCCATATTTCTTTGTCTCAGCTTGCTTGTTATGTAGTAAGGGGCTGAGCCTTAGGTATTCACCAGGGCGGGGCAACCAAGTCCCTGCTTTGTGGTGCTGTGGGGTGGGGGGGGGAAGGAACAATGTCCCTTGCTTGGCTCTCTCCCCGATTTCAGTCACCTCCCTCACCTCCCACAAGTGGCTGTGCCCTGTCTGGTGCTGATTCCCTGGTGGGAGGGTTTGTGTGTGTTCTAGGACCCTGTGGGTCTCTCAACAAACTCTCCTGTAAGGCCAGGAGTTACTCTAGCTGCCTCAACCCTCACAGGTGTTTTCAGTCAGAGGTTTTGAGGGTTTATTTCCCTGAGCTGGGACCCTGGGTTGCACGGCCTGTCTCGATCCCCACTTGTTCCTCCCGGTTTATCCACACAGGAATGTGGGACTGCCCAGCCCACAGCTGCCGCCTTGCTTGGCATCCTCTCTGCCCCAGCTCCAGTCTCCACCCCTCCTACCAGTCTGGGTGAATGTTTCTTCATCAGCTCCTTGGCTGTCGGACTTCCCTGCAGTTCAATTTTCTGGCAGTTCTGGTTGTTTTTGTTTCTAAATTGGTTGTTGTCCTTCTTTTGGCTGAGCAAGGAAATGAAAAGCGTACCTACCTACGCCTCCATCCTGGCTGGAACTCCAATTTTTTATTTTTGACAGCCATTATTAGAGCCATAGTAAATATTCCCATACAGGTCTGTTTTATACGTGTGAACATACATTTTCATCTCTTTTGGGTAAATAGGCATCCTAGGTCAATTGCTGACATGTGCAAGTAGCTCCCAGTAGTTGAGGAGAGGTCGCCCTCTACTGGGGAGAGGATGAAACTCATCTGTCTCCTGGATGGTCCCAGGGCCCATGGAGTTGCCTTCTCATTCCAGCTTCCCTGGAAGCCTGGGTGAGCAGGAGGCCGAGGTCTCCCTTAGAGGCAAATCAGAGAGGTTAGAGCTGGGGGAGTGTGGACGTCACCTCACCCAGTGCCTTCAATTTGTAACTGATAAAAGGCCAGTGAGAAGAGAGGGACATGTCTGAGGACATGTGGTGAGTGGGGCGCTGGGTTTGGAGGTCAGGCCTCATCTTGCTCAACAGCCGCCTTTCCTACTGTTTTTTGTATAGTAAAGGGGAGCATATTACCTAATTTTTTAAAAGTTAACTGATTGCTTTTCTTTTTTTAAAGATTTTATTTATTTATTTTTAGAGAGGGAAGGGAGGGTGAAAGAGAGAAAGAGAGAGAAAAACATCAATGTGTGGTTGCTGGGGGCCGTGGCCTGCAACCCACACATGTGCCCTGACTGGGAATCGAACCTGCGATGCTTTGGTTCGCAGCCTGCCCTCAATCCACTGAGCTACGCCAGCCAGGGCCGCCATTCCTACTTTTTAAGAAATGTCACACTAGCCTGCTGAGGTCCCCCCGGCTCTGGCTCAGAGGGGACTGGTGATAGTTTCTAGACCACAAGCCAGTGGGGGAAGCTGGGACTAGGACCTGGATGTCTGCCCTGCACCAGTCCGCCCCATCCTGAGTCTTGCAGGGATATCTGGATGCCCGTGGTCCATTAGAAGAGCTCACATCCTCTGGTGTAGAAAGGAGGAAACTGGCACCCAGGGATGCTCCATAGCCACCCAAGCTCGGGTCTGCCATGTCTTTGAGGTTGAAGCCAGGTGGGGTGGCCAGGCCCTCGCACAGCTCATCCTATACCCGACGCTGCCAAGGGCAGTGGGGCTGCCTGCTTGCCTGCTCTGAGCCCCATGGCCTGCCCATGACATACCTCTCTTCCCTCTTTGTGGGTGGCAGGTAAGATCTCCAGCACTAGTGTGGCCAGCCTCCTGTGTATGCCGGCTGACAAAGCCATAGTGAAGAAGGAGCTGCTGTCTGTGGTGGCGGGGACAGACAAGTTCACTGTCAAAAACAAACATGATGACGAGTACCCACCGCTGCCTCCCAGCAAGATTGTCCAGCGGGCAGAGCACCTTGTGGGGCAGGAGATGTCGTACGACATCTGGACATGGAACTGTGAGCACTTCGCGAACCAGCTGCGCTATGGAGTCTCCCGCAGTGACCAGGTGCGTCCCCAGCCTGAGCTGCGTCCCCAGGAACCAGACCAGACCAGACCATTCCCTCAGTGGTCCGTGGTGGGGTGTCAGTGTGGGCCGGCCCAGGGTGGAGACAGAGGCACAGAGGAGACAAAGTGGCAGAGACAGGCTCCCTACCCTCGAGAGTGTGACGACAGTTGGGCAGGGTTGAGGGCCAGCAGCCCTGCCACTGTCGGCTCTGCAGACCAGTGCAGTTAGGGGTGATGTCACACCCATGGCCTCTGTGGCTGCCCGGCCCTGAGATGGCCCCTTTCCACAGCACCTCGACCAGGTTGTATTAAGCCCACTTTGCAGGTGTGGAAACCGAGGCTAACAGTGCTTCAATGGCTTACCCAAAGTCATTCAACAGTTAGCTATTGCACCTCTCGTCCCTGACGGCCACTGTGCAGAGGTGGGAGTGCACCTAGGCACCTGCTCAAGGGAGGCATCTCAGAGGAGGTGGCTCCTGAGCCGAGTGTGATTGAATTCCTGGAACTAATCTGACAGTGGAATGTGAGCTGGCGATTGCCAGGGAGCGGGCATGGTGCTCACCGCCAGCGGAGGGCACAGTGTGAGCTGGCAGGAGGGGAAGCCCAGGTCACATCGGACGGGCGTGCGTTTTCTGTGGAGGGCAGGGAGTGGTGCGCTGAGGCCCTGTGGCCCGAGTGGCCCCTGCCTCTCCACTCCGCTCTGTTGTGGAAGCTCTGTAGCACAAAGGCAGTCGTGCACAATACGTAATGGAATGGGTAAGGCTGAGTGTTTAAAAAGTTTCTTTATAAAAGGAAGCATTGGGCTGGATTTGACCCCTATACAGTAGTTAACTGGCTCCTGGTCTCAAATAATTTGAGAAAACTACATAGCCCTGCCTGCGTTTTTAGGTGACACTAAATATAAAAAATCATACATACAAAAAATTGCGAAGGATAGAATTTTCGGTACATGGTACGTTGCATACATACGTACCTGTTTTCTTCACGTCCTTGGAATCGCACATTTAGCTCATCAGTTAATGAAAAAGGTTCACCATGCAATTTAAATAGGCCAGGAGTTCTTGTCAACCAGTCAGCCAAGCAGACCACTCTTTAGGAAGAACCTGGCCTTTTTTTTTTTTTTCAACTCAAATAAACACATTAAAGCGTGTTTCCACTGCAACGGTCTCAGTTCAGCGCTGTAATCCAAAGTCGGAGGTAGACTTGGAGGGAGCCTCCCTAGATGAGGGTTTGTGGTCCCATGTTTCTCCCAGAAGCCCCATCTGGGTAGGAGCAGGGCCCTAGGCAGCCCTCCTCCTTGGCTCCCTGTTGTGTTTTCCACTTTAGTCCTGGCACTGCAGATGCAGGACAGGTGAGGGTTAAGCTTCTGTCTTGGAAGGGAGGACAAAGGCTGTGGTGAAAGGGGAGGTGGGCAAGGAACCCCCCGAGCTCCCAGGAATGGGGACCTCTGGGTGGAGTGCAGGCTGCTCTGGCCCACCGGGACCTGCTCCGAGTCCAGGCAGTGAGCCTGCTGGAGCATCTCCCTCCTCTGAGCTGTTTCTGGTTGGGAGGGGTGGCTGGCTGGGGCAGGGGATGCTGCCTGATCACACATCTGCTCTGGAACCCCAAGGGCCAATCTGGGAGGTTCCCACTTTTCAGGAGTGGTTGGCCCCGTGCTGTGCTTCTGAGGGATGGGCAGGAGGTCTGTGCATCTCTGGTGTTTTGTCCTTGGCACCTCTCTTTCTGAACTCCTTCCAGGGCAGGCAACTCATTACCTTGCCTGCCTCTCTCCCTCTCCCTCCTTCCTTCCCTCTGTCTCTCTCTCCATAACACAGAGGGCTGAGGGGGGGGGATGGTGAGGGGATGGCAGAGCCCTTGGCCCAGGAGGGATCTGTCCAAACTCTTGCAGAGCGTTTGTCCCAAGGCCCTGTCCTTAGGACACACCCAGGTCCCCTGGGACGCCTGCCTGAAAAAGCTGAGCACTGCCAGGAGAAGCGACTTTGTCCCAGCAAGCCTGGGACATGGGCCCTGACCTCCCTTCCTCAGAGCATTTACTGAAAAGGGCTTGCAATTGTGGGTCCTTCTTGGGCCCCAGGGGGTGGCTGTGTAGCTCCTGCATCAGAAGTGTCCCCCTCAAGGACCCAAGAGCCGTCCTGTGAAGGGCCATCTCCAGGAAGTCAGGCCCTAAGGGTCCAGTCTCAGGGGAGGGTGGAATCCTGACCTCCATCTCTGTCCTGCTGGCTGACCCCTGGCCCAACACCTTTGCAAGTCTGCATTTCATAGGCTGCTGAGCCCCAGCTTGCCCCGCCCCCTTCCTCATCCTTTGACACACCAGTCAACTCTGCAGATCAGAACTGAGCTGAGTGAGGTGTGCTCACCTCTTCAACTCTTGTCCTGCCTGTTTCTCTTTTACACTTGCAAACGTTTCTGAGTGTCTCCGAATGAAAGGGACAGTGCGTTTCTTTTTCTTTCCCCGACCTCTCACGTGGGTCTGATTTGTGATATTCTACAGAAATCTGCTATCTGGTCTCTGTTTTGGGTACTTTTCCTTCTGGCTGTGGGTGGCTCAAGTATGCTTGCTGGGATGTCAGGCAGTCTGGGCCCTGTCACTTGCTGGTGGTATGGCTTTGTCCCTGTAACGTGAGAATATAAGTAACGCAGGGTATGAATAAGGCTTTGGGCAGAGGAAGACAAATACAGGGCCCGTGACGTCCCCACCCAGGGCTGACACCTGGACAGCAGCCATGCTCATAGTCCTCGTCCACCGCCATCGCACAGTGGCATGGGCCGCAGTGGCTGGGGCCAGCTCCACTGAGGACCCGACCCTCAGGGATCACCCTCGCATCCCTGCCGTGTAGGTCCGCGTTTTTGGAGTACCCGGTTCCTTGCCCAGAGCCCTTTCCCTAGCAGCACGGGAGTGGGCTGGTCTCACTCCACAAAGTGCTGTTCGTAGTCACCAGTGTGTCCAGCAGGTCAGTCACGAGTGCCTGGGCTGTGCCCAGAGGCAGGCTGAGCTCTGGGGACCCAGGACCGATCCCAGCAAGCTGCCTGCCTTCCAGCTCTGGGTGGCGAGAGCTCGGGGCGGGGGGGTTCCCCAACTCTACACTTGCTTCAAGGCTGCCAGTTGGCCAGCCCTGACCTACCACGTCTGGGCACTGCCCCTCCATCCTCCCCATGCAGCCTTACTATACTTTCAGGACCTATTGAGGGCTGCTGTTTCCTCACACCTGCAGCTCCTCTTCCACTCATTCCTTCCCCACCAAGCTCCTCTTCCCGGCCGTCCTGGAGCACCTGCCCTTTGCAACCCCCCACCCCCCAACCCTGCCAACAAGAGTCCCTTCTGTGGTTTCCTTGAACAGCACAAGGGCCAGATGGGTCTTTGCTGAGCTGAGGGCTGTGGTGGGAGTCTCCGTGGTCAGGCCCCCAGTGTTGAGTGTGATGCCCTCCTCTTCTGCTGCAGGTCACCGATGCGCTCGTGGCGCTATGTGTGACCGCGGGCATCCTGGGAGTGGGCCTGGGCCTCATCTGGTTCCTGCTGAACAGATGCAAGCGAGAGAAGCAGGAGCAGTGACTGCAAGGAAACGTCCCACCGGCAGCCAGTCGACGGGGAGAATTCTTGCTGAGCCAGCAGGGGTCGGGTTTGCTTTGTTGCCTTTGGCCTGTTTTATAATCATTTAACCCACAAGCAGCAAACACAAGGGCCGAGGGCCGAATCCACCTTCCACCTCATTTAATCCGGCCCCGCACCTTGTTTCTACCCGGTGGCAGTGGAAGGTTTTCTTAGACCCCGCCGAGGAATAAACAGCCAATTGGCCTTGAAAACAGGCAGATGAGCTTTATTTTGGAGGTTTATGCTCCTGAGTGAGGTTTTCTCCGCCCACACAGAGAAAGGGCTGAGAAAAGCGTGCGTGGGACACGATAAGGGTGGAGGTTTCCTTTTGGGTTGGCTCTCCATGGGAGCTGGGGATTGCTTCCTTATGAACAAAGAAGCAACATATCATTGGTGGCTCCTGGTCTGACAGCAGCCACCTCTTCCGGGTCAGAGTTCAGTCGCCATATTCCTTGTAGTCCAAACGGCGGCCATATTTCCTGTCAGCCATATTTGTAGTCCAGAACGCGGCAATTGTTTGTAATGAGGTTCCCATTTGTCCTACCCCGCCCATCCTGACAGGCAGCACCGAGCTCTCACTTAACCGTCAGCGAGGACTGACATTCATACCATCCTGCAATGACATTCGGCCCTTTGAAGGCAACCTCGAGGCCGATGTGGTCCCTGGTGGCAATGAGGTTGACCCCCCTGATTTCACCTGAGTTTAATGGAGGCAAATGAAAACATAGGGAGATTTAACTGGGGGAAATCATAAAATGACTTCTATTAAAGACACACTGGGCTGTGTCATGGACTGAACGTTTGTGTCCCCCCACCCCCAGTTCATGCTGGAGCCCTAACCCCCAGTGGGATGGCGTTTGGAGGTGGGTGATTAGGTTACAGGAGCTCCTGGAGGGGACGGTCAGGGGTGGGCCTGACGGGGTCAGCACCCTTCTAAGATGCAGAGAGACCAGACTCTCTCCTCCATGGGAGGACACAGGGAGAGGCGCCATCTGCGAGACAGGAAGAGGGTTTCTCCAGGATCCGAACCTGCGGGTATCCTCGTGTGGAACTTCTCAGCCTCTGGACCAGTGAGAATAAATGTCTGAATTGTAGAAGCCGCTCTCAAACCCTCAGGGGGTGGAATGTGCAGCGGACTCACGCAGGCCCCTTCCCAGCTGCACTGAGGTGCATCCTGGCCATTCAGTGCTCTTCTCTGGTTTCCTCTGGGGGGTGGGGGGGTGTGTTCTTTTCATGGCCTGAGGATGCAGGAGGGGCCGGGCAGACACACCTGGGGTGGACAAGACCAAGAACCACTGGACTGCCAGGGCCAGGACCTCAGCAGCTGGAACTGAGAGGAAGAGTCTTGGCCATGCACGTGACCCAGACCCTGTGACTGAGGCTCCCTGTTCCTCCTGTTACTCTGTGTCTCTCGGTTCCAGAAACAATCAGTACCATTATGGCCCCCACCATGCTGGGCCTTCTCCTCCTACATCAGCTCAGCTACATGTCCCGCAAGGCCTGCAGCACCTGGTCCCTGTTCAAGTTCCTGAGAGAGACTCTGACTGGCTCAGCTCACTGCAGCCTGGCTCAGGGTGGTAATTGATAGCTGATGGGTCAGGTGACCTCACTAGGCAAATCAGCTCTGATGCAGCTTAAGCTAGACTGCAGAGGTAGGTCCACTTGGAGGGGGTAATGGGTGAGCCACCTCCATCTTTAAGCACCCCTGCTACTGGGGCACTTGTGGTGTGGGGTGGAGCTGGCACTGACCTTTGGTCCCTCCAGAGCTGCTGACACCCTGGGTCTTGTCCCAGGGGAGATTTGCTCCCTGGAATTAGAGGCCGGGGCTCACCACACTCACAGGATCTGATCCCCAAGCTCCCTCTCCTGTTGCGGGGAGCCTTAGACTGCACCAGGTGGGAAGCCTCCTCCTGCGTGTCAGCCTCCTGCTTGTTGGGCCTCACAGAGCTGGGCCCCTGAGCTGGAGGGAGCCTGGCAGCAACCAGGCAAGCATGGCCCCTTCTGGAACCCCCACATGGAGGCTGACATCTCAGCCTGGGAGTCGGCACACGACCCCCTTGGGTAGCAGCGTGGACAGGTTCCTCACTTGTCCCTCAGCCTCTGAGAGCCTGAGCCTCCAGGGGAGCCCTGTGTGAGGGTCCAGCCTGGTCTCTCCTGCATGGAGGGGGTCAAGGGCCTGCCAGCTTCCTCCTGTGTGGGCAGGTACAGCCAGGGGAGGTGACACCCCGAATTCTTAAGACAGAGTGTGTTGCTGGCTGCAGTGGTGCCTGTAGACAATGGCCAGATCGACTGGCCACTCAGTAGGGCCACTGGTGGCAGAAGCTGGGGAGGAAGGGGGAGAACTTGGGGACCCGGCCCTTCTGAGACCCCACCCAGGGCACACTAGGGAGTAGCAGAGGTTCTTTCTGCATGGTGAAATATTTTCTTAATCCTTGTCCAAGGATATATTTATTGATTTTATTTTTAACAACGAGAGAAAGGGAGGGGGGAAAAGGGAAACATTGATGTGAGACAGAAACATCAATCAATTGCCCCTTGTACATGTGCTGACCAGGGATCAAAATCGCGACCTAGGGACATGCCTTGTTCAGGAATCAAACCCAAAACGTCTTGGTGATGGGATGGCCCTCCAACCCACTGAGCCACCTGGCGAGGCCTGAGGTGGTTAATTTTTTAAAAGATCTATGTTTTTGCACCTCTATATTCATCGCAATGTTATTCAGAATAGCTGAGTTTTAGAAACAGCCCAAGTGCCCATCAGTCGATGAGTAGATAAAAAGCTGTGGTATATTTGCACAATGGAATACCAACTGGAAATAAAAAAGAACAAAATCTTCCCTTTTGGGACAGCATGGATGGTCCTGAGAGCATTATGTGAAGTGAGATGAGCTGGTCAGAGGAAACAAGCACCACGATTTCACTCACATGTGGAATCTAATGAGCAACACAAACAAAGTAGAATCTGACACGCACAGAGAGAACAGACTGACCGCTGTCAGAGGGGAAAGGCTGGGCAGGGCTGGGTGCAGAGGGTGGTGACCAGAGGGGAAGGGAGGGGAGGGAAGGTAGGAGAGGGTAAAGGGGGATAAATGGTGGTGGTAGTGTTACAGAGCAGACCTGGGGGGAGTGAACGATGTACTATTACCAGAAGGATCCCCCCTTTTCTCCAAGGGTTCCCCCCATCTACTAGGTTCGCTTTGCCTACTGCCAGAGGAAAGACGTCTCTCAATGCCAGAGATGGTTGAAGAGGAAAGGAATTATTTATTTAAAAGTTATACAGACTTAAAGTAATGACCTAATGTCTTCATTAAAGTACCAAAATTCTTTAGAATACGCACTAATGCACACAGTTCTTTCTTCTCCCCTTTGCCCAGTCCAGGGTATGGTATCTCAGGCAAAGGAGAAGAGGTCTATGGTTCAGGCAGCTCCTCTGTTCTGGCACCATCCACTGTGTCACCACCATGATCTCCAGTTAATCCAGAACCATGTGGCACCTTCTCATGGCCCACCAGCAAGAGTCCTTTCTCCCCTTTCCTTCCAGGCAAAGTGTCTCCTGCTGCCTAAGCCACGTGGAAAAAGAGAGCACCTCAAAGCCACATGGTCCTAACTCTTGCCCAAGCCTTGTGGTCCCAACCTACTCTGCCAAAGCTGTGTGGTCCCTCTTGGTATGGCTGCTGATGCTGGGTTTAAATGCCCACCCTAATCTTCCTCTGCAGCTCCATTTCTGACTGCTCCCACAATCAGTCACACCTGCCAGCATTCCCTCATTCCTCCAGCTTTACTGGGCTGCCATAGTAAGTCCGGGCAGGAGTGGTCCTGTGGTGTGGAGACAATCATTTCCAAGCTCTCACACAGGCTCTGCAACCAGGGGCAGTTGCCTTCCAGTTGCATCTTGGGTGAAAGTCACTTCCATCCCCCTGGCTCAAAGCATGGCCACAGCTGTTTAACATATCTGTGAAACCAGCTAAAGGTTACAGATATTGTAAATGACCACGCCAGAGGTTAGCTGCAAAGCTGTTGCTGTACAAAACAGCTCTGAATGGCCCTGCTCCATGTGTCCCATCCCCCAGCTCAGACTTGTGGGGGTGAGGACATCATATATATTTTTTTCAAATATTTCTTGGACACCCTGAGTTCTGGGCCCCATTACAAATCCCTATTTGGGGCCCCTTCTTGGCTGCACCCTGTAACAGTAGAAGATGATGTTGTGTGGTGAACACACAATCCAACACACAGATGATGTGTTGTAGAACGATACACCTGAAACTGATATAATTTTATTAACTCATGTCACCCCCATAAATTCCATAGACATTTTTAAAAAGAAAAAAAATATGTCATCTAAAATGATTGTGCTGCCCCAACTGGTAAACTTCGTTGGTTGGAGTGTCATTCTGTAACCAAAATACAGTGGGTTTGATTCCCTGTCTGGCCACACACCTAGGTTGTGGGTTCAATTCCTGGCTGGGGCGTGTGAGGTTCCCCAGCTGGGATGCACACAGTCCCAGTCCAGGTGCAGGAAGGAGGCAGCAGGTCACTGAGCACCTTCCCCACTGTCCACAGCCCCCAGAGGGGATACTCTTGTCACAATCGCTGAACCTGCAGTGACACAGCATCATAACCCAGGTCCTTAGTCTACCTCAGGGGCCGCCCTCGCTGCTGCCCATTCTACGAGTTTGGGCCAATTGTGACACCAGGCACCCCCATCCCAGTGTCCCACAGAGGGGTGTCCTGTCCTCAGTGTGGGAGTGGGGGTCTTCAGCATTCACCCTGGGGACAGCTGGAGCCTGAGCAAGGGGGGCGCCCAGAGATGAGAGCATTCCCTCTGCTAGTCACAGGTGGTGAGGAGGAGGCCCCAGAGTTCAAAGAGAAAAGCAGCACTTTCTACCAGGGGGACTGCCTGAGAGAGGTCACTGGGGGAGGGCCATGCCTTGTGAGGGGCCCCAGGTACCAGAGGGCGGGACTCCATGGGGGGATGGTGGTGGGGGGAGAATCTCGTGTTCGTGTTCTGCCCCCTGAGAGTGAAAGGAGTGATGTCCAGTGGGAACAAGGGTCAGTCTGCACAGAACCTCGGGGACGGTCCTCTGAGCTCCTGCTGCAGACCAGACAGGGGCAGGGGTCTCCCACCCACTGTCTCACCCGGCCCTCATGTTGTCACCGGGACGCAGACCCCGGCCCATCTGGGAGAGAAGGACCTGAGGCCTGGGAGTCAGGAGCATCACCCAGGGCCACATGGCCAGAGCTTGCTGGTGTCCCCAACAGGCGCCGAAGCTCCTCCCGTCTGGGTTAGAAGTCTACACAACACACAGTGGAATTCCTTTGTGAAGGGAAAGGCAGATACATTTATTCATTCTAGGTCTGGGTAGAAGTATTCCATCCTTGGTCAGCGAGAGGGAAAGCGAGGGACAGAACTGCAGGCTGCCTGAGAGCTGGGGTCAGCGAGACAGGGGAGGTGGGGGCGGTCCGCTGCTCAGCGGCTTCGAGGGCAGGATCCTGTGGCTTCTTCAGGCTGTCACTGGCGCAGGATCAGGTCTTCATTATATTCAATACAATAGTAAAAATTGCACCTAAGGCTCCAAACAGCCCAACTCCCATCACGGCATTTTCAACCTGAAAGTGGGCAGCCCGTGTCAGAGTCCACAGCCAGTCCAGGCAAGTCCTCCCTCCCTCCCAAGGCGAGCCCAGGGTCCTCTCCCACACAGGATGCTGGCCCCATTCCCTGGGAAACAGAAGTGGGGACCACTTCTCAGTGTGGGCTTGTCTGGATTTGTCCCGCCAACCGGCAGGAGGGGCTGATGGAGTCCTCTGTGTGCACTCCCTGGGGGAGGCCGTGTGTTCCCGGCCTGGGTGGGTGGGGAGGAGGCTTTGTGCCTGGGGTCCTGGGCCCAGAGCTCTGGGGTCAAGGTGGGAATGGCTGTGTGGTCTGGGCTCTACCTGGAGCCACCCCTATAAGGGGACGCTTGTGGTAGAAGCTGAGGGGAGACCTTGGGAAACCACGGCCACACTGTGGACTGTTGAAAAGGACAGCCTGGAAACTTTGCCTTCCAGTGCCCCTCAGCCTTGAACTCCAGACTCACATGTCCATCTGCTGCTCAACATGCCCACCTGGACGTCTGGCTGGCCACACACACCCCACCTCAGCATCGAACCCTTACCCCCTGCACACCTGCCCCTCCTGCCCCCACTCTCTCTCACCCAGGCCCCTGCCTGCCCAGTCTCGGGACCCCAGATCTGGGGGCGCTGTGGTTCAGCAGTGAAGAGCAGGGCAACTGGGCTTGGAATCCTGCTCCTGCCCCTCACTAGCTGGGTGTGTTGGGACAACACACTGGGAAGAGAGGGAGGGGGAGGGGTTAAAGCTGTGCCCAGGTGGGAAACAAAGGTGTCCTTGAGCTGGCACATGGTCCCACTGACTGGGCACCCCCTGCCCCAGTGCTCTCTGGGGCCTTAGGAGAGCTGGCCTGCCATGGTGCTGGGTGGGCCCAGATGTTCCCTGACCACACACAGGGGCCCCATGGGCTGCCTTTAGGGGGTCTTACAGGCCAAGGACCCTGAAGAGACAGAGCTGGCCAGAGCCCCAGTGATCCTCCAACTACCTCTTCTTCTACACATGGGGAAACTGAGGCCCAGGGAGGAGGTGACGTGTACAAAGTTGCCGAGAGGATTAGAAGCAGATGAGAAGGGCTCTCAGATGTCCTGCCTCCCTGCCACAGGGGATCCCCCAGAGCCCGCTTTTGCATCGTTCAGGGTAACTATTCCCTCTGGGTGCACCGCCTGGTCGCCCCACCTGAAGCAGACCTCCAGGAGCAAAAGGGACCACCCAGAGAGGGTCTTACCTGCTGGCATTTGGGCTCACCATATCTCAGTTTGGTGACAAAGTGCTCACAATTGTTCCTGGTAATACCGTACGGCAAACTTCTTGCCAATCATCCTCTTGGCAGAATTGAGAATCTGCTCCACAGGCAGTGGTTTTAGCTCCTTGTCCAACCGGTTGTTCACCCGATATCTGCAGCTCCCTGCCACATCAGTCAGCAGCTCCCTTTTCACCTCCGCCGTCTGCCACAGAACGGAGCCGGCGCTGCAGGAACCCGCCCCCGGATAATTACCTGGAATCGGAGACACTGGGATCAGGCACTGCTGTTGGGGGACTACTGGGTGGGGGAAGAGAGGGTGAGACCAGAAGGAAGGGAGGTTGGAACCTGCTCCTGAGCTTTCACTGTCCGTCCCTTCCCAGACGGGACTGGGGGAGTCACAGATTTTGTTCCTTTGACTCAACAAGCTGTGATGTGCTTTCATGGTGTTAGTGCTGGGGTGCCCAGTGGCTGCCTTGTGTTCCGTTATGAGAATGGTCCCCGTCTAGCTGACCAGCCCCCTCCCCGATAATGAGCATGTTGGCTGTGCCCCGGCTCAGCCGCCGTGAACGATGACTGGAAACCGTGTTTGTTCTCCGTTCCTCTCGGGGACCTTGTGCATTTCCTGAAGAGGTCAGAGCCGTTTGAGCGCCCACCGTGTTTGACCAAAACCCGCATGAGCCCCGTGCTCCACACTTCCTATTCACCCCATCTGTCCCCAAGCAACTTTTTTGTTTCCCTGGGTGGAAAAGGTCCTAAAAGTGAAGTGTTTTGCTGATGTGGGAGAAGTAACACAAAAGCCAGCAGCACTGAAAGGCATCAGAATCAACAAGTCAAAAGCAGGTCTGAGCAGTGGAAAGAAGGTCTTGATGGTTGTGCTGCATCCAGCAGAGAGTACTTTCAAGACGACGGAAGTTTACACATGTAAGAATAAATACACCTTTTCCATAAATACATTGTGTTGTTTTAGACCCCCCTCGTATAATCAATATTGGACCTGGGACACATTCTCAGGTGTTCCTGACAGCGCTGTGGCCAGTGCAGAGGCCCACACTGGAGCTGCCAGCTGCTGGGGCCCCAAGTCCATCCCACTGGTTCCAGGTGTCATGTGCTAGGTGGGGTGGGGGGGTAATAGTGCGCACAGCAACTGAATGTTCCCAGTTTACCGTTCCAGTCTGAAGTCCAAGTTTTGTACTATGCTCTCCTCCCTTAAGAAGCACCCCTCGAACGTGCAGACACAGCCCACACCCCAGGGGCTGCAGCCCTGCCCTCTGCTCCAAGCCTCCCGAAGTGTGGCCCTGATTAGGGGGGTTGCATTCACTAGTTTCCATCAGCTCAGACATTGTTACAACTCTGTCAGGGTCGCTGAGAGCTTACAGAAAATGGACAAGATGCAAAGATTTTTCTGACAACAGATTCCGTCCGGGGACAGTGCAAACCCACGTGTCCAAGGTGAGGGTGACAGGCTCTGCGGGACACGCAGCCCTGGCCCTCAGTCAGCAGTCCCACCCCAGCATCCCTCCGTCCTGGACGGCATGCACACCTGCGTCCCGCACTCCCCTCAGACCTGGTGGGCCGTCCTGCCTCCCCTGCTCTCTAGGACCTAAAGAGAGCGCTCGGGGCCCGCAGGTGTGTCTGTGAGAGCATGTTCTTAGTGACATGTCACCGCAAGAGCTGCTTCTGTTGAGGGCAACTAAGTCCACGCTCAGGACACCTTTTCTGTGAAATCACGTGAATGCCCAGGACAGAGGAACCTTGTCCTTTACGTGACCACAGACACTCAGAGCCTTTGCTGGTTTAAGTGACATCACCCTTACCTGCCCAGGTAACCAGGCACCCAGCTGGAGAGCCCCCAATGCCAAAGCAGCCGGCTGCACTGGGGTGCCCACGAACCTCTTTTCCTGCCGTTGCAGGCCCTGTGGGATCCACATGGATGTATGGTGAGCCCACTCACTGCTCAGGGAGAAACGAACTCGTTTCCCATGGTGGCATTTGGCTTTGAGTTATTCTCGTTATGTTAATGAAACTTCTGAAACTCACACTTCCAAGAGCCCTTACCTAGAGGAGCCAGATGGACCACGTAGCCATCTCCCATGTAGAGCGCCCAGTGCTGGTAGCTATCACGGAAAATCTCAATCAGGTCTCCAGGATTGCATTCGCTACTGACCTGCAAGAGAAAATGCCAGAAGGGTGTACACAGATGTCCAGGCCCCAGAAAAGGCCCTGCCTGCAGACCCCGCTAGGCCTGGGGACCCCTGGCTGGTGCTCATCACCTGGTGAGGGTGTGTGGAGCACCCGTTTGCGCTGGTTCACAGACTGAGGCTCAGAGAGGGGGCAGGGAGTGCAGGGAGCACCTGGCGGGAAAGCAGCTGCACTGGGTCTTCTCTGCCCCGGGTCTCCCAGTCCCTGCGTCCCTGCCCCCTCCCCTCTGACAGCTCCTTCCTGGGCCCAAGTGTTCTGCCCACGGAATGGCCATTTCGTGACTGGAGAATATTTCTGTTTTACTCTCCTTTTCTGCCTGACCTCAGCAAATAGCAGCCCCCCCACAGCCCTCACCCCAGGACGCCTGATCTGAGGCCAGGGGTCAGCTTCCCTTTGCCCTCCTTCCTGCCAACACCCAACACCGGTGTTGACCCTGGAACTTTCTCCTGATTCACATCCTTGTTCATCTCCTCACAGATGACTTGGTTCAGGGCCTCCCAGTTCCCCATTATGTGACCCTCATGGTGTCCTGAGCAGCTCCCTTCCTCCTGTGCCTCCCCTCCCCCTCCAGTCTCCCCAACACCCACTGTGGCTTCCCACAGGGCCCACCTGGAAATGACCTTCCTCTGGCCTCAGAACTCAGGCTGGCCCGTGGGCAGCTCTCAGGCCCCTCAGGCCGACCCTTCCTGGCCCCCCGGCCCTCCCAGCACACTGTAGCCCAGGCCACTGCAGGACTTACCCTCTCACCACTCAGCTCACTCCCACCTCTGCCCCTCTGCACACACATCTGCTTCTCTATCTTCCTCTCCCCCTGCCCCACCCCCATGTCTCCTTTCCCCCCATCAGACAGACACCCCTCCTCTGAGAAGCTGCCCTGAAGTCCCCAGCCTGGCTCAGCTGACACTGTCTGGGTCCCCAGTCCCTGGGGACCTGTACCTCTCCCCACAAAGACCACGTGGCCCTGCAGGTCCCTGTGCCTGTCTGCACCCCTCTGGGCTTTGAGCTCCAGTCAGGGAGGTCCCTGTGTGCTGGGCCCTCCCTCCTGCATCTCCAGGATCCCCCTAGGAGGCAGGTTGCAGTAGGAGGGAAGGAAGTGTGTGAGGAGGAGGAAAGTGGGGCAGTCAGCGGGGCTGGGATTCCCTAGCTCCTCCTTTTTGTGCCCAGGGCAGGGCGGGCCCAGTGCTGGCTCCACCTGGGGAGGGGGAATGAGGTTTGGGTGATTTCTCACTCTGGATCTAATGTCTAACTAAGGCCAGGGCAGGGCACTGTCCACAGTAGCAGAGGACAGACAGAGGAGAGCTTGGGCCCTGTCTGGGTCCGAAACCGTTCCCCAGGGAATTGCCCGGTTTTGTTTTCCCCCAACACAGCACTGCCCTGGACCCAGGATGCAGATGGACGGGCGCTGGAGTGTGCAGTGCGCCTTCCCAGAACCCCCTCATTTCCAGGAGTAGCCCAAGACCAGCGGCTCCTTCTCAGTTAAACACACACGGAGCTCGGCCTGCCCCCCTGGGGACGTGTGTGAGTCTGGACCCCAGGGTGACAGGAGGGGATCTGTGGACTCAGCACGCTAAAATTCCAGGGCTCAGTACCAGGTGGGGCCGCCTGTGTTGGAGCAAAGAGGGGAGAGAACAGACTGGGGCTGAGAAGGCCCCGACCTTGGGCGGCAGCTGAGGGAGACAGGCCAGGGATTCGCTCGCTTCCCAGCTCCCCCCATCAGCCTGGACACCCACATATCCCTCTTCTTGGGGACCCCAGGTCCCCTCATGGTGCCAGATGAAGAGACAAGGCTCATTTGCCTGAGGACCTCACAGTCCTGCCAAAAAAGAGACTTTGAAACAGCATAGTTTTCTCTAAAAGCCTCCAAAGACAAGCTCTGGAGGTCACAGGGCTGGGGTCACAGGCAGGGCCCTCGCAGGAGGGGAGCTGCCCGCCGCCCAGAGCCACCGACAGGAAGGTGCGGGGACTTACCTCGGAGCCCATGGCGCTGTGTGGTGGGTGCTGCTGGTGGGACAGGCTTTATATGGAAGCTGAGAGTTCCACTTTCACTTTCCTTATGATACTAAGAACAACTGAATATGAAATAGGTTTAATATTTTTTAAATTGATTTCAGGAAGAGAGGAAGGAAGGGAGAGAGAAAGAGAGAGAGAGGGAGAAGCATTGTTTCGTTTCCCCACTCATCCATGCACTTCAGTTGCTCCCTGTGTGTGTCCCGCCCGGGGGTCAGGCTGGCCACCGCGGTGCCTCAGGTTGACGCTCCAACAACTCAGCCACTAGCCAGGGCTGAACATGCTTTATAGGGAGACTCAGGATTTCTCTGAAGGGACAGGCCCATAATTACATACATGAAATCATGGGGTCACTGGGGCTTGAAAGCCACGTTACAACGTGCCCAGGCCCCGCACAAGTGTCCCGACACCAGGAAGGGGAGGCAGGAGCGCCCAGAGCTGTCCACCCCCAGGTGCCACACAGGCCCTTGACTCGTAGCAACTCCAGGAAGTACAGGAGCCATGGGGCAGGCTCGTCAGGGTGCTGTACTCCATGGGGAAGCTTCTAGAAAGTGTATACCTTGGCCTCGGGGGGCCCAGGAACCCATGGCCCTTGGGAAGCATGGGGCTGGGAGAAGCAGAACTCATGAAAAAGGGGCTTCAGCAGCCTGGACGCTCCCTGTCCCTGGACCAGGAGGCAGGTGACTCAGGGTCAGCACAGCAGTGCACCAAGGCCACCGAAGACCCAGGCTTCTCCACCACGCTGATCCTGTGTCTGCTGTGATGGTTGCTCTGGGCCCAACAGCCACGAGGGACACATTTTCACCTGGCAATGGTTAGAAGCAGTAAAGACAGGTGTTGTCCATCATTTGTCTCTTTTTCTGAAGGGAGAATACCTTTCCCATAATCCTCTCCTCCCTGGCCCCCTTCTTCCCGGGCCATGAACTGGGTTCCATTTCCATTGCAAACCAGTGGCGGGCAAAGGTGAAAGGCTTATGCCACTCTCGGTGCCTCAGCTGGGTCTGGGGGGAGGGGGGGTTCATGCTGCCCAACGAAGAGCAGGGCTCAGCGGCCTGGGTGGAGGTGAGTGACAGGGGTGCCCAGGTGTGGCGGTGGGGGCCGGGGCCGGGGCCAGGGGAGACGGCTACCAGCTAAGCAACCAGCCCGTGAGCCGCCCTCCCCTACTTCAGTCCACGGTAACGCCTGGAGGCTGCAGACAGGCTGGAGCCCGCTCTCAGACAGCACAGTGGCCGCCGCAGGAGGTGCTTGAAAACGGGTGTGGAGACCGGGAGAGGGTGCCGCCAGCTTGAGGATGTGGCAGAGCCCCCCCCCGCTGCTCCCCCATCAGAAAGCGCTGCTGTGGGGGACACAGGAAGGGGACCGCCTCTCCCAGCAGCAGCCCCTGGCTCCCGGGGCCCTTGGGCAGACAGAGCTGCCTGCAGTGGTCCACATTCCCTGGCTCCTCTGGTCAGGGTGGTGGGATGGCAGTTTCGGACCAGCCATTCAGTTTCCAAGTAGGAGTCACTGAGCCTTCCTCTCCCCACATTAAGCTCGTGTGCGGAATGGAAGGGAAATGGTAAGCTGCAAGGTGTCGTCCCCTTCAGGGAGTGGCCCTTTGGGCCATTGCCTGCTCTCCTCTCAACACAGCGACCATCTGGTTAAGAGTGAGGGCTGCATCCCTGTCAGCGAGAGGCTGGGCAGCTGCAGGCCTGGACTCCAGGAGGGCTGCGACCCTGGCCCTCACGGGCCCAGCTGCAGCTGCCCGTGCCATGGGCTCCAGCTTCTGGGACACGTCTTCGGGGGAAAGGGTGTCGGCCGGGTTCGGCAGCCAAGGACTTTTCCTGTCCCCTTTCTGAAAACCCAGTGGCGTGGCACACGACACACGGCCCTTGTGCACCTTCCTGACCCGTCTCCTCTTCAAGGCCTCTGCTGCTGGGCTCGGTCAGCACCGGGCAGGTCCCCACACTGACAACCCTGAGACAGAGACGGTCCCCGTTTCTTATTAACTTACGAGTTTCTGCTTTTTATAACCACGGACAACGTGGTGTTTTATTGAAACCATCAACATCTTGAACAGTGAAACAACACACTTGATTGGTGACAGGCAACAAGGCGGCTCCCCCCCAAATCTCTGAGAGGTGATTCATGAACACGAACTATGCTGTCATCGTTTGTGTCCAGCAGAGAAAAAACGTCACGTCCATATGCTTTATAAATGATCACCAGTCTGGCTTAAGCAACCATGTTTGGTAGTAGTGTGTCTTGTTAAGTGTAGACAAGACTTCCCTCTCAATCCAGAGGGACTTGCAGCACCGTTTCACCAGCAGACGTGGGAGCCTGGCTGTGGCAGGAACCCAGGCAGAGAGGAGAGGACAGATGAGCCCGGAAACGCTCTACTCCAGTTCACTGGGAGGGAGCTCCTCGGTCTGTCCGTGCACTGGTCAGCAGCATCGGTCAGTAAAGGCACTGAACTGTCTTCCGGATGTGGGGTCGGTCCCACGGCCTGCAGTTGTGAGGGCAAAGGCCTTCTGTGGCACGGACCCAAGTCTCGCAGAATAGGTTGGCATGCTCAGGGGGCGCACGAGGGGATGTACGCTCAGGGCCAGAGCATGCACACTGGGGCTGACCTCGTCAGAAATGTGCACGACGTCGTCGGGCAGAACCCCCGGTCCTTTCTCCACTGCCAGCCACTGAGATGGGCGTTTCCCCCGGGCTGGCTTTGCATGTCCTCCCCGGCACGAGGCACGGGATTCAGAGCTCCGCAGCTCCCCCTCCCCAGCAGAAGTCCCCATCGTCTGGACACCCCAGCCCCCTCTCCTGCTCATCACCAGGCTTCAGAGTCCCCCTCCTCGAGGTCATTCAGGAGGCCAAGTAAGGGCCCCAGTCTTCCACAGCTCGCTCGTTTCCTCACGTGCACCCGCCCTAAAGCCACGCTCCTCTCCAGCAGTAAAGGGGCGGCAGCTTTGTTAGGTCTTGCTCTCTGAGGCGCCTGCGGACACGCAACCCAGACCTGGTTGCAGGGAGTAGCATCAGTGTTCTCAGGCTCTGAGCCCAAGTGATACATACGCTCCCGGGGGCTGAGCACTGCCACCCTCCTGTCCAGAGTGGCGCTCCAAAGGAGCTTTCTCGGGGTGACTCCCTGATTCTCTGGGACCGAATCGTATGGTGCAGTCACTGCCTTGAGGGCCGCATGGACTCGTTCACAGAGCCTTCTCCCAGGAAGCAGTGGGCTGTGTCCCAGGAGATCTGACTCTGAGGACCCTCGGGTGCCGCGACCAGTGCGAGGTGGAGGTCCCTGAGTGGGGTGACAGGAGATTAAGAAAACACAACAGGACACAGGTTAAGGAAAAGTGAGGCCCAGGTGGGGCATTGTCCTTGGATGGAGACACAATGACCCTGAACATGGCATCCACGATTATTTTGTAGGGGTTGGTTACATAAAGGTCAAGGACATTTTTCAGACTTAGGGAGACTCTGGGGGCAAAGATCGTTTCGTTCTCATGGGAATCTAAATGATAAATACGTCTTCTGCAAAAGCTGTAGTCACATTCAGCTGAAGCTTTCGGTTATGTATTTCCTTCTCAACCCCCAGGGGTTCTGGCTGCCATCAGCTACTGGCCTGCTCTGCTTTGCAGACACAAGTGGTCAAGTGTGGCCTTGCTGGCACTTAACCTGAGCTTTGAGGTCAGCCTTCACCGTCCTCCACGCTTGGGGGGATATGGTGACCCTATCTCTCCAGGACAACTAGAGGACTTTCCAGGATCTACCCTCAGAGCTGAGCCCAGAGGTGAGGGATTGCCTATGGGCAGAACCAGCCAGGCCCTCCTCCCAGGTCCCCTACCCAGCCCTTCATCCTGCACAGGAGGAAACAGAGGCCCAAGAGGGGGATTGACCTGCCCACAACCCTCAGGGGGTGGAAGCTGAGCAGGGAGTTGAGCTCCGGTGTTCTCTGTTTACAGGCAGCTCAGTGTTTGGAAGGGAACCAGAGCTCTGAGAGCACAGAGGCCCAGGTGAGGGGCTGCTGCAGAATTAGGGACCAGAGGACCCCAGTGCTTCCTGGTGGTGGCAGGAGAACTGTAACTTGGCAACTTGGGGGTCACAGGAATGATGCTGATAAGCTTAAGGTAAACCACGTGACTTCCCGGAACTCCTTTTCTGTAGAAAGAACAGGAACTACTTGACCTGATCACCCACAGGCTTGTGGGAGGAGCAACAGCAGTTCACACTTGAGCCGAGCTTCCCAGTTGTCACAGCACCTTTTGAGTCACTTAATGGTCACAGCAGACTGTGAAGTAGATGGGACAGGGGCACCTGCTCATTTCTGGATGAGAAATCCCAGTCTAGTCAGTAAAGTGGCCCTTGAGCAGGTCTCCTGGCTGATGGGTGGTGGTGCAGGCACCTGAGTCAGCTGCTCCTGACATGCAGGGCAATAACCAACCCCACCACCTGCCAGGATGCACTGGGAGCCTTTGGAAAAGATCCCCCCACTGAAACTGCTCTCCACAGAGGAGAACCAGTGGGACTCAGTGGACAAAGTACTGGTTTTTAAGTATATTTTATTGATTATGCTATTACAGTTGTCCCATTTCTTTTCTCCTCTTTATCCCCTTCCACGCTGCATGCCCCTCCCACCAGCATTCCTGCCCACCTTTAGTTCATGTCCATGGGTCGTACATATAAGTTCTCTGGCTTCTCCATTTCCAATGCTATTCTTAACCTCCCCCTGTCTATTTTGGACCTACAACTTATGGTTCTTATTCTCTGTGCCTTTTCCCCCTCTCTCCCCTTCCCCCTCCCTGCTGAGGACCCTCCATGTGATCTCCATTTCTGTGATTCTAGTTGTTTGCCTAGTTTGTTTTTGTTTTTGTGTTTTAGGTTTGGTTGGTGATAGCTATGAGTTCATTGTCATCTTACTACTCTTCATAGTTTTGATCTTCTTCTTTTTCTTAGATAAGTCCCTTTAACATTGGAGTCAAAGCTATTGGTTCACATTCTGAAGTGTGTCTTAGCTTTGGCGACCTTGGGTGAGTTAGGTGCTTGGTCCTTAGGTGTTTGGGTGAGAGATGTCAGGAGGACACCTCTGATAGTTACCCACAGCCGCCTCACAACTTCTGTGAACTGAACTCCACAAGGAATCGCTCGAGGGTCTCACCTGTTGGCTGTAGCTCTGGCCATTTCTCAGTTCGGTGACAAAATGTTCACAATTGGGCTGCAAAACACTGCAGCACCTGATTTCACCAATATTCTCCTTCGCCAGCTTGACAGGATGTGGCCTATATCTCCTGTCCAAGTAGTTGTTGACCTTGTAACTGTCGTTGTTAGCCACATCCTTCAGAAGTTCATATTTCACCACAGCTTTTACTTCATGCTCACTGTTGTTGGAAGAGTGAGGCCTGGAGTACTGACCTGAGATCACAGACAGTCACTGTAAGGTGCTGCCATGCTTAGCAGTGCAGGCGGGAGAAGGAGGAGGAGAAGGAAAACCGAAAAGTCCCACTACTGACCTCTGGGGGTCCCTTCCTCCTACTCTCCTGTTGTTAGACGTTAAATTCAGCAGGAGTGCAATTGCTTGATCCATAACTTGTATAACTTACATACTTAACAATATTGGAAACATGTTCCCATAGCAACAAATGGGGAACCACTTCATAACTTGGAATGGCAGCCATGGCATTCCATTGATGTTGTGACTTTAATTTACAGACACATCCCCAGTTACCAGGCATTTCAGTTGTTTCAACTTGTTCCTGACTTAAGATAAAGACATGGTAACAATCCTTGCAGATTATGCATTTTGGGCATGGGTCTGACTCAGACCAGTTTTTGAGTTTTTTGAGTGCCTCCCAGGAAGGAACAGGTGTCATTTGATCCTGTTACAATGCCTCCCAGGTGAAAATGTCTGTCTCCATTTCATAAAGCAACTTTGCGCCAGAGAACTTAAGTAACACACCCAAGAGACAAAAGTCGTGGAGGAAGGATTTGAAACAACTCCAAAGCCCTGGCCATTTCTGCCCCATGGTGTAAAAACTGTGTGGCTCCATGGCAAGACAGAACTTTCCATCATTTTCTTACTTCCTATCACCTGGCATAGTTCCGGACACCTAAGAGTCACAACAGAATTGTCAACTAATGGAGTCCGCATTCCATCGCTTTCCCTGACTCAGTGAATGAAGATCAAACAGGTCACAATTCAAAAGGAAGCAGGCTAATCCCCACAGCAGTGAGCTGTCTTTTTCTTCCCTCTTCTCAACATAAAGCTGCTATTTAAACAAATAATGTATCTTTACCTTCACAGACCAAGTGGACCACATGACCGCCTCCCACGTAGATGGCCCAGTGTTCGTTCATAAAGGCCTCGACATATTTCCATCAGGTCTCCAGGCATCGGGTCTTCGCGTGACTACAACAGAAGAAGCAGAGAGAGTGCAGACAGGCCTCTAGGAAACAGCAGAGGCCTGGATGGGAGAGCTGTGTTCACTGCCACACAACCCCTAGGGTGACCCAGGGACGAGACACCCTGGGGACTGCTGGGACCAGCAGCTTTGATGTCACTCTCCCAGAGCCCCCCTTTGGGGGGCAGGAGGGACAGGAAGCCTAGACAAAGGTTGTCTAGCGGGAAAAGTTGTCTTTCCTTCTCCTTGGATGGGCCCTAGCACATTTGTCCTGCCCCATTGTTGGGCATTAACCTTGTCTTTGATCTGTTCTGACACTTTGACATCCTCAGTCTTAAGGAACCAGGAGAGACTGCCCCCCACCCCACCAGGGCTAGCCAACCCCTAATGACAGCAAAGGACTGGGCCCTAAAGGTGCTTTTCAAATGCAAATGGACCAAATGCAAAGAGCCCACAGCCCCAGAGACCTCCTCTAAGAGGTTCTCATACTCCAGGCCACCTATTCAGGTGCCCTAATCTGCCCAGGGCCAGCCCCTCTGCCCCAGAGCCAGCAGAAATTATTCTAACTAGCTAGTCCTAAACCTGCCTGTCCTGCCTCAGTCATTCTTCCCACAGAAACCACAGGAAAGGCTCTCGCCCACTTTCTCTGCCTCCCACCAACCCGGCACTTTCTCATGAGGCCCGTGTGGTGTGGCGTGTCCCCTCCTCCTGGGAACTGTGACAAGCTGTCTTTCCCATTGAAATTGTCTCCTGATCTGTTGTCCTTACTGAGTCTCAAATAGCCTACTAATGAAACATGTTTTCTAGGTATTTTTTTCTTAATCGTCTCCTGAGGACATGGTTATTGATTTGAGAGAGAGAAGAAGGGAGAGAGAGAGAGGGAGACTGATGTGAGAGAGAACCATCAGTTGGTTGCCTCCCACACGTGCCCCTGACCAGGGATTGAACCTACAAACTTTTTTTTGGACAGAACATGTTTCAAAGCAGGTTGTCCACAGTTTCATTGAATAGCCTCCTCCTCAGGGTCTCTCCCAAGCCTCTGGGCACTCATTCACGTGAAACACAAACGGAAGCTCCTTAGGGCGACACGGTGGGCAGCTGGGCCGAGCATCCAGCCTGGTGGTGACCACACAGCTATCAGTGGGAGCGTTTCATCACACGCACCCAGGAGCACCTTGGCCTTACAGAGCGGGGACGAATCCCCACGCACGCACGGCTGTGGCGCTGGGACTGCAGAGGTTAGGGACGTCCCGAGATCACTCAGCCAGAAAGCAGTTTGCTCTTCCCACCCCACCAGCACTCCCCCTCTACTGGCTGCTTTTCTGCACATTCACCCTCCCTTCCAGAGACTGGGTGGGCGTTCCCCCACATTGCATTCAATCCCCATGGAATGAGGCCTGTTTTCTGTCTCTCTCCTCTCTCTGTGCCTCTCCTTCTGGTGCCACTCAGCCCAGATTGCTCAGTCAGAGGCCCAGAGTCACCCTTCACGCCTCCTTTTCCCTCAGCCCCGCATCCAGTTACCAAGTGCCTTCAATAACATCTTTGCCCACCTCCTTCCCTCTAACTGGGGTCAGAGAATGCTGTCCCTCAACTCTTCCACCACTCCTTGTCCACTTCACGTCATCCGGTGGGTCCTTCAAAGGGAACATCTGGCAATGACCCATGTGGAGCCTCAGAATGCTGTCCATACCCACAGACAGCTCCTGATCTGGCTCCTCACCCCCCATCCATCTTCACGCTCATCCCTCCTCATCCTCATCCCTCTGCTCTGCACTTACTGGGCAACTTTCCCCCCTTCGTCTCATGCTTTCTCTTGCCTCTGCTCCTCTGATAGCATGTTTTCTGTCCTCCAAACACCCTCCCAGACCCTCTGCCTTTAACAATACTATTCTCCCAGCAGACACCCTCTCCCCTGGGCACCTCAGTGCCACAAGCTGGACCAGCTGCCCCTCCTCTCTATGCAGAGATTGCTTTTGATGCAATTTTCTGTACCTATCTGGCTCATCCCCCTGGGTTTGGCATCGACTGAGGGATGGTAAGAGCAGCAGCATGAGGACCAGCCTGCCCATCACCCTCCGACTTTAGGACCAGACCATCAACCAAGACATGGTAGGGCGAGGTGACTTGGGAAGGTCTCCCAGCCAGTCAGTGGCGGTGTGAGACCGGGGACTGGCTACTCAGCACTTTCAGAGCAATGGTTCCCGACATCCGGTGCTGCATGCTGACAATCATTTGGAATGTTTTTCCAGACTGAAAGGTGCCCTTCAAGGATGTGCTACACCTGGGTCACTGCTCATCTGATGCTGGACATGATGGAGGAGTCGCCTAAACCCTGTGTGCCCAGGCCCCCATGTGCAGACTGGCTTGTTGTCAGGACTTAATTAGCTAAGAGCTTTCAAGTGCCTGCCGTTGCATCATCGCTATGAGAATTAATATTCCCACGGACGTTGACAACAAGTGTGGTGATTGCAGAGGGGAGAGGGTCAGAAAGGGGAGAAATGGTAATGGGAAGAAGTACAGTAGAAATACTGTAGCATTAATATGAGACGTAATGCTATAGTATTAACATAACAAATACCAAGCAGGCTCAAGTGGTGGTTTCCCAAAGCCCCACTTCCCATCCCACTCCAAGAAGAACTGCAGAGGGAGAAGGATCACCCTGCAGAGGGCCTTACCAACTCACGGCGGGGCCGGCCATATCTGAGATCAGTGACAAAAGTTTTGCTGTTATCAGAAAGAACTGTATATGTCTTCTCGCTATGAATCATCTCCCTGGCAGAACTGATGATGTCATCCACAGGCCGGGGTCTGCACTTATCATCCAAGTAGTTGTTGACCCGATATAAGCAGCCCCAAGCCGCCGACCCCAGGGGCTCTTCCGTCACCTGTGCTCTGCCAGTCAGAAATATGAACATATTGGAGGAGCCGATCCTGGGAAACCCCCCTGGGAATCACATAGAGGGGTCACGGGAAGATGAGGCAGGGAGACAGAAGGCAGGAGAAAAGAGAAAAGGGAAAATGCTACCGGTTATGGATGTAACTCCTGGTTGACAAGGCATCATGAATTATTTTTACATGTTGTAAGTGTCACAGTTGTGAGTGGCTGAGTCACAGGACAATATCTTAGTGCTGTGTTATCAACATTTACATAGTAAATTTGACCGATCCCCTTCTACTGAGCACTGGGGTTCATCCAAAGCTTAGCCGTGAAAAAAGTTATGTTAGCAATACACTGATATCCTTGTTCAGCTTTAAACTTCAGAAACAGACTTATTTTTATTAGTACCCACTCTGCTTAGGCCCTCTGTGGACTGTTCTCCCTGTATTGGGCCCAGAGAGACGTGAACAGGCACTTCTGTGCTGTGAAACTCCTAGAACTGGACTGTGAAACGGCCTCTTGCATGGCACAAAGGCCAGGCTCCTACTAACGCAGTGAGCAAAGGCTTAGAGAACCCTTCACACAGTGTCTCCTCTCCCATGACCTGGCACATGCAGGGCATAGGGAGGGGTCCGCAGAAGAGCTATCAGCCTATGCGGTGCCCATCCCATTGTCATGGTGAGTCCAGGTTTTATTTTCTAAGCACGCGAGTTTTTGTTTCTGATCTCAAGTATGATGAAAGCACTTGAAATCCATATTCTTCAGAAAAGCTGTCCACACCCAGGAAATTGGCTATAAAAAGGACTACAGGTCCTCACAGTAATGCTTCCCCTTACAAGGCCCCTAAGTGCCATCTGGATTCAATGAGCCTGATTGACTATAAGTAATCAATTCCTATGTTCTCACAACACCCTCAGGATAAATGATAACTAATGGGAAACACATAAGGGGCAAAAGCAGTATTCTGGTACTGATGACAAGCATCTTTCCCTCGATGAGAACAGAGCGTCAGAGGTGATGTGGCCACTGCTCTGTCGGGGGGGAACCAAGGTGCATCTGATTTAGCAGGCTCGCTCTGGCCCCCTCGGTTCTCTTCCACTGACGGTGCGGACTTCAGTTTCATTCATCTCCCGTTTAACTGACTTGGTCATTCTCCCCCTTGCATATTTATGAGTTAAATAAATTATTCACAGGTGCTTGCTATGTGATGTTCATAAGAGTTTTCCTTTTGGAGGGGCACCAGTGAAAGCTGCTTGTGCTAAGGAGCACCTATGACATACACCTGGTTTGTGAAGTTGTATACTTTTGAAAAACACAACACGGGGAGCCCTTCTTACATAAGACTTAGACTGTGAGCTTCTGATGAACTTTGCTGCTTTAAATCATACCATCAGAGTCTGCAAAGAACAAGCTACATCAGCCTGCAGCTGGAGGAATCTAAGCACCGAAGCAGCCCAGCTGCCCCAGAGGAAGGCAGTGAGCCTCCGTCTGCTACGTCAGGACCTGTTGGACCCCTGGGAGCCCAGTGTGTGGGCTGGGACTACCCTCTGCACAAGCTCTGCCCAGGGAGAATGTGTCTCCCGACTCAGGCTCCCCTCGGCCAGGTCTCATTGCAATTGCTCTCATTGTCTCTTTGACAAATCTTTTGAAAATGATATCTTCAACAGTCCTTACTTGGAGGCGTCAGATGGATCACATTACCGTCTCCCACGTAGATGGCCCAGTCCTTGTAGCCAATGTGAAAAATATCAATAATGTCTCCAGGCCTCGGTTCTTCTGAAAACTGCGAGACAAAAACCAGAGATGTGACGGACAGACTTCTGGCCAGAGCAGAGGTGCTGGCCGGGGAGCTGCAGTGTGGCCTGGGGACCGCCTTCCTGCTGGTCACCACCTGGTGAGAGTGGGGGCGGAGGACACCTGAGGCCCGAGCAAGCCCATCTTGCTTTCAAACAGTCCCCTCTGAGGAAGAACCAGGAGAAAGGACTCTGAAAAATAATCGTCTGGACAGGGAGAAACGAGGACTGTCTGGATGAGTATAAGGTGTGTGTGTGTGTGCTGCATGTACGTGTACACACACTACAGGGCAGCTGTGCACATGTGTGTTGTGTGCTTGTGCACACACACCAGAGCACAGCCGTGCACACCCAGGTGCACTGTGCTCGTGTGCAGAGGGTGTTGACACACAACCCCCACATGAAACCCCTTCCCTGAGCTTGGGGCCCCAGGCCCACGCCCGGCAGTCCCACAGCTGAGCCTCGAGCTCCTCTGCCCTTCGCACACGGACCCTCACGGCTCCATCCCACCGTAGCCCTGGCCATCTGTGGCCCCAACAGGCCCCACCTCACACTCTGTTACCCGTGGCTCCGGGACACCCACCCTTGGAGCTGCTGACCTGAGAGTCAGGAACTGACAGCATCCTCAGGGAGCTGAGCCTTCCAGGGGCCCTGGTGGGGCTGCCCAGCCTCCTGCACTGGGAGGGGGCTGATGCTGTCACACAGCAGGCTCTGCCGGCACTTTTCCTACCATCACTGCCAGCCTCCCACTGGCCAGGGGAGGAGGCAGCACCCATTTGTGCAGGAGGGGAAACTGAGGCTCAGAGTGGTGGAAGGAAATCCTCAAGAACAGTCAGTGGGAGGTGTCTGGGCTGAGTCTTTTCTGCCACATCTGTCCCTGGCCCTGTGTGTCCCTGCCTCCCTCCCTTCTGCAACAACTTGTCCATGCTCTTCCATGTCCCTGCTTAGGTCACCACAGAGCACGATTTGGGGATTTTTCAGTTTTTCTCTCACTTTGTGAATGACCTAGCAAATGGCAACCCCCTGCAGCCCTCACGCCAGGCCTCCTGATCTGAGGTCAGGGGTCAGCTTCCCTTTGCCCTCACTCCTTGCCAACACCCAGCAACTGCAGTTGACCCTACAAATTTTTCCCTGAATTGACGTCCTTGTCCACGCCCTGCCCATCACCATTTGGTTCAGTGAAGCTCAGTCCCTGCCTTCCTGAATTCTGTGGTCTCCTGAGCAGCCCTGTGCCTCCTGTCCCTACCCCTCCACCTCCATTCTCCCCAAGATCCCCTGGGGCCTTCCCACAGGGACCATTTGGCCATGACCTTCCTCAGGCCTCAAGGCAAGGTTCGCCCTTGTGCAGCTCCTGACACCCCGGCCCCCCCAGCGCTCTGCCCCCCCCCACCCCCAGGCTGACTGCAGGACTTCCCTTCCCACCACGCAGCTCACTCACACTTCTGCCCCTCTGCACGCACATCCTCATCAGCCCATCGGCTTCCCTGCCTCCACCAGCTTCCCCACCCCCATCAGACAGACACCCCTCCTCTGAGAAGCCGCCCTGAGGGCCCCAGCCTGCCTCAGCTGACACTTCTGGGTCCCCAGGCCCCCGGGACCTGCACGTCTCCCCACATGGACCGTGTGGCACTGCCAGCGTCTGCTCTGGGCTCTGAGCTCCAGTCAGAGCTGGACCCTGTGTGCTGGGCCCTTCATCCCTGCATCTCCAGGATCCCCCCAGGGGCCTGGTCTGCAGTAGGAGGGACGGAACTGTGGGAGGAGGGGGAAAGCTGGACGGTCAACGGGGCCAGCATTTCCCAGCTCCTCCTCTCTGTGCCCCAGGGCAGGGCGGGCCCTGAGCCAGCTCTGTCTGGGGAGCACCAGGGGACTAGTGATTCCATCCCCAAAAGTCTAAGGTCACAGCCACAGCACTGTCAAGAGTAGCCAGTGGGAAGCAGTATATCAGCTTGAGTCCCTACCTAGAAAAAGAAAGGGGTAGGATGTAAACAGAGCTATGGTTCTTGGGGTCGAGAACAGAGGCCCTCCCTTATAGCAATATGGGAATCATGCCTCCCAGAAATTGTTCCATCATCAGTAATGGCAGGAGTCCAGCCTGTGTCCCTCTGGCTGCGACCACAGACATGCGCTTGCCCCTGACCGCACCTCGCTAACTCAGCATGACTGGGCTGCTGGTCAGGGAGCTGTCCGAGTCAGCACGCAGAAATCAGGCAGAATAATTGTCTTGGAGCAAAGCACAGAAAGAACAGATGGGGGCTGAGAAGGCACCGAACTGCAATAGCCGCTGAGGCTGACAGGCCAGGGATGCCCTCACTTCCCAGGTCCTGGATCGCCCATCAGAACACCCTCAGTGTCTTCCCCAGCTCAGGCAGGCACAGCCCAGACACCCACATGTCCCCCCACATCGGGGGCCCCAGACACCACCCCTGACCCCCATGTGCCAGACACAGAGAGGAGGCTCGCACTGCACAAATACCTGAGTCCCGCTGGAGAAGGGATTTAAATGAAAAAATACGTTTTTCCATGAAATTCTTCCAAAACCAACCTCTGACATGAACTGTGCCCAAAGCCATGAACATGGACAGACACCCTTACAGGAGGGGAGCTGCCCGCCTGCAGTACAGTGATCAGTAGGAAGTTCCAGGAGACTTACCGAAGCCATGGCAATGTTGGTGCTGTGCTTCCAGTAGGACCAGTTTTATACCACAGATGAGCATTTCACTTTCACTTTCCTTCTGACATTGCTCAGGAAGACCACTGACTGCTGCAAACCCAGACACACTTCTGGGGGGGCGGGGGGGCGCTGGGCTGGTCGGAGTGTCATCCCATAGACCGAAGGGTCACGGGTTCCCTACCCACCTGGGGCGCATACAAGAAGGCAACTGGCCAATCTTCTCTCTCTCTCTCCCTCTCTCCACCTTCTCTTCTCTCTCTAAAAGTGATGAAAAAGTCATTGGGCTAGGAAATAAATACATAAATTATATTCTTCAAATGTTAATAATTAACTACATCAAAACACAGAATCTTTGGTGCTTAATATCCACCTTGGAAGTAGCCAGAATAGGAGGGGAACCCTGATCAGTAGAAGGGAGGCCCATTTGTCACCAACTGGCAGGTGGCTCGGGGTCAGCTCAACAGGGTACCAAGGCCTCCAGTGACCCAGGCCCTCCTGTCTTCTCTCTCGCTGCTCCTGAGTCTTCACCGACGCTCTGCAGGGTCCGAAGGCCTGCAGCAGCCTCCAGCAGCACCGGCCACAGAGAGTGAGGCCGCCCCGCGCACCCCCTGCATCTGCAGGAAAGGCGCTTTGTGCTGAACAACACCAGGAACCTTGTTGACTGGGAGAAGGTGGTGACGGGAGACTGACTGGTCAGGAAACCAGTGAGGACCAGTCTGTCTCCTGACCTACCATGACAGAATCCATTCTTTGTGAGGATTGGACTAGTCTGATGGCTTGCAATAAATCCACAGACCAGGTGGGTTAAACAATGCAAATGTGTTTTCTCACAGTTCCAAAGGCCGGAAGTCTGAGTTCAAGGGGCTGCCAAGGTCAGAGGCCCTGTGTACGTGCAGACAGCCATGCCTCACGAAGCCCCACATGGCCTTCTGTCAGTGCACCACAAGGAGAGAGTGCATGGTCTCTGGCGTCTTCTCATATGAGGGCATGGGACCCATGAAGGCAGGGCCCACTCTCACGGTCTCATCGATGCTCATTACCTGCCACAGGCCCCAACTCCACATGCTATCACACTGGGGTTAGAGCTCTAGCATATTCACTGGGGGGACACTAATGTTCATCAGCCGGGCTACAGTGAGGCTACACCAGTTCACAGGCCATCATACTGATTCCCTACAGGCCGAGGAAAATGAGGGGAGTGGCTAACTAGGGACTGCGGGGAAAGCAGCAGGCCTGCGGAGGTAGCCCAACCCATCAGAACGATTCCATGTCCAGGACACTCTGGACGGGCTCGCTCCTCCCAACGGCATGTCCTGGCCGCAGGTCTCCTCCAGCGCACGCCGCCCCTGACGCAGCATTGTCTGATGTCCACGGGCGCCTCTGGGCCTGGATCCAGGCCTGGCACTGGCTATTCTGTTTGTAGGTGGCAGTGACGCCTCCATTTCCATAGACCTGCATTTTCCTCTTTGTAAAGTGATGTGACAATCAGTGAGTGGCCACTGCCTAGGCTGGAAATGGAAAAAAGAGGCAGAAGAAAAGAGCAAGGTCCAAGATGTTGCCCCTTACCAATAGTGTCACTTTGGGTCATTGCCCAGGAATGGTGGATCTCAGGAATACCAGCCTGGTGTCACATTTAAAAGTAATCAGTGTAATTCACCATATTTATGGAATACTAAAGAAAAAAATATATATGAACGTTTCGATTGACTGGAAAATGCAATTGGAAAAACTCTAACAGGCATTTGCAATGAAAACTCAGAAAACTGAGAACAAAGGGCCATGTCCCCTTGTACAGGACATATTAAAACTTGCAGGTAGTGTTACACGGAAGTGTTAACATGTAGGGTGACCAGATCTATTATTCAGACATGAAGCACAGAGAGTAAAAAAACAATAGAAGAGAAAGGAGGAATGAGCAAGTTCACCAGGAATTGGCCAGAGGAGCGGATGGGTGTCACACCACTGTCTCTGGGGCTCTGTCTGGTCCAAGGAACAGGGAACCAAGGGTTCATGTCGGCTGAGAGCGGGCTCCAGCCTGTCACAGCTTTCCAGGGAGGTTGTGTGGATGTGCCATAGACGGAAGTAGGGGAGGGCGTCTTACGGGCTGGTTGCTTAGCTGGTAGCCGTCTCCCCTGGCCCCACCCTGCCGCCACACCTGCGCAGCCTGTCACTCACCTCCACCCAGGCCGCAGAGCCCTGATTTTCTTTGGGCAGCACCAGCCCCTCCACAGACCCAGCTGAGGCACCAAGAGTGGTCTGAGCCTTTCCCCTTTGCCCACCAATGGCTTGCAATAGAAATAGGACTCAGTTCTGGCCCGGGTCCCAATGTCATATGGGACCCAGGAAGAAGGAGAGCCAGGGAGCAGAGAGTTATGGGAAAGGTATTCTCCCTTCAGAAAAAGAGACAAATGCTGGACCACACCTGCCTTTACTGCTTCTAACCATTGCCAGGTGAAAATGTGTCCCTCGTGGCTGCTGGGCCCAGAGCGACCATCACAGCAGACACAGGGTCAGCGTGGTGGAGAAGCCTGGGTCTTCGGTGGCCTTGGTGCCTGCTGAGCTGACCCCAAGTCACCTGCCTCCGTCCTCCTGCTCCAGGGACAGGGAGCGTCCAGGCTGCTGAAGCCCCTTTTTGATGATGTCTGCCTCTCCCAGCCACATGCTTCCCAAGGGCCATGAGCTCTTGGTCCCCCCGAGGCCAAGGCACCCACTTTCTGGAGGTCTTTCCCGGAAAGCAGCAGGACTGGCCCTGGTGTGCACCACATTCCGTGTCCCATGCTTCTGAAGGTGTGTTGAGACAGTGTCATCCGGGGTGGATTGGGGGTGACCGCTCTGTGCCTGGAGACACCTTTTCTCTTTGAGACAGAAACGGTGGCCCAGGGCTCTAGCTGGAAGGCGTCTTGGGTTTCCCTGGCAGGAGTGCGGGGCTCCCCTGCTACTCTGGCTGCTATCCAGGTGGATTTCAAGCACCAGTGATTCCATGTTTTGATGCTGGTAAAATTAGCATTTCCATTTAGAAGAGTGTCTTGTTTTTAAATAATGGTATTTTTGAGCAAAGTCAGGAGAAATCTGAGAATGAAATTTTCAACTTTGGGATAAAACCTGTTCCAACAGGAAGAGAACACCACACACCACCGTGGCCTCTGTCAGTCCCTGCACCTTTGTCGGGGGTCCTGGGGGGTGGGCAGCTCCCCTCCTCCGAGGGCCCCACCTGTGCACCCGGTCCTGTGACCTCCAGAGCTCGTCTTTGGGGGCTTTTAGAGAAAACTATGCTGTTTCAAAGTCTCTCTTTTGGCAGGATTGTGAGGTCGTCAGGCAAATGAGCCTTGTCTCTTCATCTGGCACCATGGGGGGACCTGGGGCCCCCTATGTGGGGGGACATGTGGGTGTCTGGGGATGCCTGTCTGAGCTGGGGAATAAGCTGAAGGTGGGCTGATGGGGTTGGGGGACTCAGGACCTGGGAAGTGAGGGAACCCCAGCCTGTCTCCCTCGGCTGCTGCTGCAGGTCGGCGCCTTCTCAGCCCCAGTCTGTTCTCTCTCCGCTTTCCTCCAAGACATCTGTCCTGCTTGACCACACACACTTGAACTTTAGCACACTGACTGGGCAGCTCCCCTCTGTCAGCCCCGGGGTCCGGACTCACACACGTCCCCAGGAGGGGCAGGCCGAGCTCTGTGTGTGCAGCGGGAAAGGAGCCGCCGGACTCGGGCTATTCCTGGAAATGGGTGGATTCTGGGAAGGCGCAGTGCACGTTCCACACCACACCCACCCCCATCCCTGCCTCTGGGGAAGCATTCATTGCAGCCAACAGTAATGTGGGCTGTTCCCTGGGTACCCCCTTTCTTCTCCAGACACTGTCCCAGCTCACCTGCGTCTGGGCCCTGATACTGTGGTCAGTGTGCAGGCCTGGTCTTAGTTAGACGTTCAGTTTCAGAGTCAAAAATCCCCCAGTTTTGCCCAGATGGAGTGGGCACTGAGCCAGCGCCCTGCCCTGGGCACAGAGAGGAGGGGCTGGGAAATCCTGGCCCTGCGGACCGTCCAGCTTTTGTTCTCCTCACACACTTCCTTCCCTCCTACTGCAGACCAGGCCCCTATGGGGGGGATCCTGGAGATGCAGGAGGGAGGGCCCAGCACACAGGGACCTCCCTGACTGGAGCTCAAAGCCCAGAGGGGTGCGACAGGCACAGGGACCTGCAGGCCACATGGTCCTTGTGGGGAGAGGTGCAGGTCCCAGGTACCTGGGGACCCAGACAGTGTCAGCTGAGCCAGGCTGTGGCCCTCAGGGCTGCTGTCAGAGGAGGGGTGTCTGTCTGATGGGGGTGGGGAGGAGGAGTCGAGATGGGACAGGTGGTGGGACAGAGAGAAGTCGATGTGTGTGCAGAGGGGCAGGGGCCTGAGGGAGCTGTGTTGTGGGAAAGGAAGTCCTTCAGTCAGTGTGATGGGCAGTGTGCTGGGGGGTTCAGGGGGTTCAGGAAGTGTGGGCAAGAGGGGCCTGAGAGCTGCCCAAGGGTCAGCCTGAGGCCAGAGCAAGGTCATGTCCAGATGGGCCCTGTGGGGAGCCACAGTGATTCTTGGGGAGACAGGAGAGGGAGGGGGAGGGACAGGAGGCAGGGGCTGCTCAGGAGACCATGGAGGTCTCATAATCTGCAACTGGGAGGGGCTGAACCAAGTCATTTGTGAGGAGAAGAACAACGAGGTGAATTGAGGAGAAAGTTCCAGGATCAACACTGGTTGTTCGCTATTGGCGTGGGAGGAGGGCAAAGGCAAGCTGACCCCTGACCTGAGATTGGAAGCCTGGGGTGAGGGCTGTGGGGGTTTGTCATTTGCTGAGGTCAGGCAACTAAAAGGGAGAAAAAAATGAAAACTGCTCCCATCACAGAGCTGCACGCACAGGACCAGGGGGCACCCTGGCAGCGGAGACCCAGCGGGCCGCCTTCCAGCTGACTGCTTAGGGGGATTTCCTTCCACCACTCTGAGCCTCAGTTGCCCCTCCTGCACAAATGGGTGCTGCCTCCTCCCCTGGACACTGGGAGGGTGGCAGTGACCGTAGGAAAAGTGCCAGCAGAGCCTGCTGTGTGACAGTATCAGCCCCCTCCCAGTGCGGGAGGCTGGGCAGCCCCACCAGGGCCCCTGGAAGGCTCAGCTCCCTGAGGATGCTGTCAGTTCCTGACTCTCAGGTCAGCAGCTCCAAGGGTGGGTGTCCCGGGAGCCACGAGGTAACAGAGTGTGAGGCGGGGCCTGTTGGGGCCATGGACGGCCAGGGCCAAGGCGGGATGGAGCCGTGAGGGTCCGTGTGTGAAGGGCAGAGAAGCTCCAGGCTCAGCTCTGTGCCCACACCAGGGGCCCCGGCCTCAGGGAAGGGGTCTCACCTGCGAGCTGTTGTGTCAACACGCTTGGCACACATGCACAGTACACCTGCATGTGCACGTCTGTGCTCCAGTGTGTGCTCAAGCACCCAGCACACACACAGCACACATGAGCTCGATAGGCACACTCACATGCATGACATACACACGTGGACAGATCTTCACTCTCCCAAGACACAAGGTTGTTTTTCAAGGCTTCCAGCCTTTGGCACAACCAGATCCCAGCCTCCCAGTTCCCCACAGGGCCACCCCTTCAATCCACAGCAGGCTGAGGGCCACACAGGGGCCAGGGGCTCCCCCACACACACCCTCAGCAGGTGATGAGCACCAGCCAGGGGTCCCCAGGCCAAGCAGCAACTCTCCAGGCAGGGGTTTTGCTGGGGCCTGGAAATCTGTCCACACCCTTCCTGCATTTTCTCTTGCAGGTCAGTAGCGAATGCAATCCTGGAGACCTGGTTCAGATTTTCCGAGTTGGCTACCAGCACTGAGCACTGTACGTGGGAGATGGCTACATGGGCCATGTGGCTCCTCCCAGTAAGGACTATGAAAGTATAATTTTCAAAAGTTTCGCTAACATAATGAGAATAACTCAAAGCCACATGCCAGGTTTCTCCCTGAGCAGTGTGAAGGCTCACCCTCCATCCATTTCCCACTGAGTCACCCCAGCAGGTCCCACAGGGCCTGACAGGTCAGGGAAAGAGGTTCATGGGCGCCCCAGTGCAGCCAGGTGCCTGGGCACTGAGGGCTCTGCAGCTCGGTGCCCAGTTACCTGGGCAGGTAGGGGCTAATGTCACTCAAACCAGCAAAGGTTCTGAGTGTCTGTGGTCACATAAAGGACAAGGTTACTTAGTCCTCTGTCCTGGACACTCACTTGGTTTCACAGAAAAGGAGTCCTGAGTGTGGACTTAATTGTCCTCAACAGAGGCAGTTCTCACGGTGAGACATCACAAAGAGCATCCTCTCACAGACACACCTGCAGTGCCCCGAGCGCTCTCTTCAACTCCTGGAGAGCAGGGGAGGCAGGACGGCCCGCCAGGTCCAGGGGGAGTGCGGGACGCAGGTGTGCGTGCCGTCCAGGACGGAGGGATGCTGGGGTGGGACTGCTGACTGAGGGCCAGGGCTGCGTGTCCCGCAGAGCCCGTCACCCTGACCTTGGACACGAGGGTTTGCACTGTCCCCAGAAGGAGTCTGTTGTCAGAAAATCTTTGCATCTTGTCCATTTTCTGTAAGCTCTCAGCGACCCTGACAGAGTCGTATCAATGTCTGAACGGATGGAAACTAGTGAATGCAACCCCCCTAATCAGCGCCACACTTCAGGAGGCTTGGAGCAGAGGGCAGGGCTGCAGCCCCCAGGGTCCAGGGTCCAGGGTCCAGGGTCCGGGCTGTGTCTGCATGTTGGGAGGACTTTCTTAAGGGAGCGGTGCTCAGTGGGAACCTCGGCCTTCAGACGGGAACCATCAACTGAGCGTGCTCAGTTGCTGTGTGCACTGTTGCCCCTGATCCCCCCACCCCCCGCAGAACATGACACCCGGACCCAGTCAGATGGACTGGGGGCCCCAGAAGCTGGCAGCTCCAGTGTGGGCCTCTCCACTGGCCACAGCGCTGTCAGGCACGCCCAAGAATGTGTCCCGGGTCCAATATTGATTATCTGAGGGGGGGGGGGGTCCAAAACATCGGAATTTATTTATGAAAGAGATGTATTTACTCTTACATGTGTAAACTTCAGTCATCTTGAAAGTACTCTCTGCTGGATGCGGCACAACCACCGAGACCTTCTCTCCACTGCTCAGACCTGCTTTTGACTCGTTGATTCTGATGCCTTTCAGTGCTGCTGCTGGGTTTTGTGTCACTTCTCCCACATCAGCAAAACACATCACTTTTAGGACCTTTTCCACCCAGGGAAACAAAAAAGTTGCTTGAGGAGAGATCGGGTGAATAGGAAGGGTGGGGCACGGGGCTCATGCTGTTTTTGGTCAAACACGGTGGGCGCTCAAACGGCTCTGACCTCTTTGGGAAATGCACAAGGTCCCCGAGAGGAACAGAGAACAAACACGGTTTCCAGTCATTGTTTACGGCGGCTGAGCCGGGGCACAGCCGATATTCTCATTATTGGGAGGGGGCTGGTCAGCTAGACGGGGACCATTCACGTAACGGAACACAAGGCAGCCACTGGCCACCCCAGCACTAACACCATTAACACATCACAGCTTGTTCAGTCAAAGGAACAAAACTCTGTGACTCCCCCAGTCCCGTCTGGGAAGGGACGGACATTGGAAGCTCAGGAGCAGGTTCCAACCTCCCTCCCTTCGGGTCTCACTCTCTCTTTCCCCACCCAGTAACCGCCCCCCTCCCCACCGCCTTTCCCCCAGTGCCTGACCCCAGTGTCTCCAATTCCAGGTGATTCCCCAGGGAAGGCTCCTCCAGTGTCGGCTCCTTTTGGTCTGAGTCGGCGGAGGTGAAAAGGGGGCTGCTGACTGATGAGGCGGGGAGCTGCATATATAAGGTCAACAATGAGCTGGACAAGGAGCTGGAACCATGGCCTGAGGCGCAGATTCTCAGTTGTGCCAGCGGGATGGTTGGTGAGACGTTGCCGTATGATATTACTGATAGTAATTGTGAGCACTTTGTCACAGAACTGAGATATGGTGAGCCCAGATCCCTGCAGCTAATACCCGCTCTGGGTGGTCCCTTTCCCTCCTGGAGGTCTGCTTCACGTGGAGCGACCAGGCGGTGCACCCAGAGGGAATAGTTACCCTGAACGATGCAAAAGCAGGCTCTGGGGGATCCCCTGTGGCAGGGAGGCAGGACATCTGAGAGCCCTTCTCAGATCTGCGTCTAATCCTCTCGGCACCTTTGCACAGGTCACCTCCTTCGTGGGCCTCAGTTTCCCCATGTGTAGAAGAAGAGCTGGTTGGAGGACCTCTGGGACTCTGGCCAGCTCTGTCTCTTCAGGGTCCTTCACCTGTAAGACTCCCCTAAAGGACAGCCCCTGGGGGGTCCCTGTGTGTGGTCAGGGAACATCTGGGCCCACCCAGCACCATGGCAGGCCAGCTCTCCTAAGGGCCCAGAGAGCACTGGGGGAGGAGGTGCCCGGTCAGTGGGCCCAGGTTCCAGCTCAAGGACACCTTTGTGTCCCACCTGGTCACAGCTTTAAACCCTCTCCTCCTCCCTCTCTTCCCAGTGTGTTGTCCCAACACACCCACCTAGTGAGGGGCAGGAGCAGGATTCAAAGCCCAGTTTCCCTGCTCTTCACTGCTGAACTACAGCACCCCCAGGGCTGGGGGCTCCTGTCAGTGGGTGGGTGGGGGCCTGGGTGAGAGAGAGTAGGGGCAGGAGGGGCAGGTGTGCAGGGGGTAAGGGTTCGATGCTGAGGTGGGGTGCGTGTGGCCAGCCAGACGTACTAGGTGAGCATGTTCAGCAGCAGATGGACATGTGAGTCTGGAGTTCAAGGCTGAGGAGGGGCACTGGAAGGGCGAAAGTTTGCAGGCTGCACGTGTGACAGTCCACAGTGTGGCTGTGGTGTCCCAGGGTCTCCCCTCAGCCTCTGCCACAAGCGTCCCCCCCTGCAGGGGCGGCCCCAAGGGAGAGCCCAGACCACACAGCCATTCCCACCTTGACCCCCAGAGCTCTGGGCCCAGGACCCCAGGCACAAAGCCTCCTCCCCCACCCACCCAGGCTGGGAACACATCGCCCTGCCCCCAGGGAGTGCACACAGAGGACTCCCTCAGCCCCTCCTGCCGGTTGGTGGGACAAATCCAGACAAGCCCACCACTGAGAAGTGGTCACCACTTCTGGTTCCCAGGGAATGGGGCCAGCATCCTGTGTGGGAGAGGACCCTGGGCTCGCCTTGGGAGGGAGGGAGGGACCTGCCTGGATGGGCCTTGGACTCTGACACTGGCTGCCCACTTTCAGGTTGAAAACGCTGTGACTGGGAGTAGGGCTGGCTGGAGCCTTAGGTGCCGCTGCTCTCCCAGCAGCCACCCTTGCTAATTCTGCAGTGAGGAACTGCTCCGACCCCAGTGACAGCCTGAAGAAGCCACAGGATCCTGCCTTCGAAACCGCTGAGCAGCCGACCACCCCCACCTCTGCTGCCTCCCTGACCCCAGCTCCCGGGCAGCCCGCAGTTCTGTCCCTCGCTCTACCTCTCGCTGACCGAAAGGGATGGAATAATTGCACCAAGACCTAGAATGAATAAATGTATCTGCCTTTCCCTTCACAGAGGAATTCCACTGTGTGTTGTGTAGACTTCTAACCCAGACGGGAGGAGGTTCAGCATCTGTTGGGGACACCAGCAAGCTCTGGCCATGTGGCCCTGGGTGACACTCCAGACTCCCAGGCCTCAGGTCCTTCTCTCCCAGGTGGGCCGGGGTCCATGTCCCAGTGACAGCGTGAGGGCCGGGTGAGACGGCAGGCGGGAGACCCCTGTCCCTGTCTGGTCTGTGGCAGGAGCTCAGAGGACCGTCCCCATGGTTCTGTGCAGACTGACCCTTGTTCCCACTGGACATCACTGCTTTCACTCTCAGAGGGCAGAACACAAACACGAGATGCTCCCCCCACCACCATCCTCCCGTGGAGTCCCGCCCTCTGGTACCTGGGGCCCCTCACAAGGCATGGCCCTCTCCCAGTGACCTCCCTCAGGCAGCCCCCTTGGTAGAAAGTGCTGCTTTTCTCTTTGAACTCAGGGGCCTCCTCCTCACCACCTGTGACTAGCAGAGGGAATGCTCTCATTTCTGGGTGCCCCCCTTGCCGAGGCTCCAGCTGCCCCTGGGGGGGAATGCTGAAGACCCCCACCCCCACAATGAGGACAGGACACCTCTCTGTGGGACACTGGGATGGGGGTGCCTGGGGTCGCCATTGGCCCAAACTCGTAGAATGGGCAGCAGCGAGAATGGCCCCTGAGGTAGACTAAGGACCTGGGTTATGATGCTGTGTCACTGCAGGTTCAGCGACTGTGACAATTTCCCCTCCAGGGTCTGTGGACAGTGCGGAAGGCTGTGCATGAGTGGGGTGAGGGGTGTCGGGACATCTCTGTACCTTCCTTCGGTTTTCCTGTGAGCCTAAAACTGTTCTAAAGAGTAAGTCTTTTTAATAAGGTATCAGACATGATATATTTGACTTTACAAAAATTTGATTTTTTTCAATGTTTGAAAGTATTTTATTTTTTCCTTTGAAATTTTTTTCATTTAAATTGTTGTTGCAATTCAATTTTCTATCTTTTACTCCCATCCCAACCCACCCACCCAACCCTCCCCTCCTCCCTCCCATTTCCACCAGCCCCTAGTTTTTATCCATGTGTCCTTATATTCGTTCCTGTAAACCCTTCCCCTTTTCCCCTAAAATTCCCTCTTCTCCCCTCTGAACTCTGTCAGTCTGTTCTTTATTTCATTGTCTTTGGTTATATTTTGCTTGTTTCTTTGTTTTGTTGTTTAAGTTCCTGCAAAAGGTGAGATCATATGGTATTTGTCTTTCACTGCCTGGCTTATTTCGCTTAGCATAATGCTCTCCAGCTCCATCCACGCTGTTGCAAAGGATAGGAACTCCTTCTTTCTTTCTGCTGCATAGAATTCCATTATGTAAATGTACCATAGTTTTTTGATCCATTCATTTACTGATGGGCATCTAGGTTGCTTCCAACACTTGGCTATTGTAAATTGTGCTGCTATGAATATTGGGGTGCATAGGTTCTTTTGGATTGGTGTTTCAGTGTTCTTAGGATATAAACCTAGCAGTGGAATTGCTGGGTCAAAAGGCAGATCCATTTTTAGCTTTCTGAGGAAGTTCCATACTGCTTTCCATAGTGGTTGTACCAGTCTGCAGTCCCACCAACAGTGCACAAGGGTCCCCTTTTCACCACAACCTGTTCAACACTTGTTGTTTGTTGCTTTGTTGATGATGGTCTTTCTGACTGGTGTAAAGTGGTATCTCATTGTGGTTTTAATTTGCATCTCTCTGATGGCTAGCAATACTGAGCATTTTTTTTTTCATGTGTCTCTGGACCCTCTGTATGTCCTCCTTGGAGAAGAGTCTGTTCAAGTCCTTTGCCCATTTTTTAATTGAGTTGCTTGTCTTCTTAGAGTGGAGTCATGTAAGTTCTTTATATATTCTGGAGATTAAACCCTTGTCTGAGGTATCATTGGCAAATATGTTTTCCCATGCAGTTGGTTCTCTTTTTATTTTAATACTGTTTTTCTTTAGCTGTGCAGAAGCTTTTTATTTTGATGAGATCCCATTTGTTTATTCTTTTCCTTTATGTCCCTTGCTCTGGGGGACATATCAGTAAAAATGTTGCTGCGTGAAATATCTGAGATTTTCCTGCCTATGTTTTCCTCTAGGACTTTAATGGTGACATGGCTTATATTTAAGTCTGTTATCCACCTTGAATTTATTTTTGTGTATGGTGTAAGTTGGTGTTCAAGTTTCATTTTTTTTTGCATGTAGCTGTCCAGTTTTCCCAACACCATTTGTTGAAGAGACTGTTTTTACTCCATTTTATGTTGCTGTCCCCTTTGTCAAATATTAATTGACCGTACAGACTTGGGCTCATTTCTGGGCTCTCTGTTCTGTTCCATTGGTCCATGTGCCTGTTTTTATGCCAGTACCAGGCTGTTTTGATTACAGTGGTCTTGTAGTATAGTTTAGTGTCGGGTATTGTGATCCCTCCTACTTTACTCTTCTTTCTCAAAAATTGCAGCAGCTATTTCAGGGGTCATTTATGGTTCCATATAAATTTTTGAAGTGTTTGTTCTATGTCTGTGAAATATGCCATTGGTACTTTAATAGGTATTGCATTGAATCTGTAAATTGCTTTGGGTAGTATGGACTGTTTGATGATGTTATTTCTTCCAATTCATGAACATGATATATGTTTCCATTTGTTTGTGTCTTCTTAATTTCTTTCTTCAGTGTTGTGTAGTTTTCTTTATACAGGTCTTCTACTTCCTTGGTTAGATTTATTCCTAGGTATTTTATTTTTCTTTTTGCTATGTCAAATAGGATTTTTTTCCTGATTTCTGTTTCTGCTGTTTCATTGTTGGTATACAAAAATGCCTTTGATTTCTGGATATTGACTTTGTATCCTGCAGTTTTGCCAAATTGGTTTATTACGTGAAGCAGTTTTTTAGCAGAGTTTATAGGATTTTCTAGGTACACTATCATGTCATCTGCAAACAGTGACAGTTTTGTTTCCTCCTTTCCAACTTGGATGCCTTTTGTTTCCTTTTCTTGTCTGATCACTGTGGCTAAAACTTCCAATACTATATTGAATAGAAGTGGTGAAAGTGTCTTGTCTTGTTCCTGATCTTAGTGGAAAAGATTTTAGTTTTTGCCCATTGAGTATGACGTTGGCTGTATGTCTTTCATATATGGCCTTTATTATGTTGAGGAATGTTCCCTCTATTGCCACTTTGCTGAGTGTTTTTATCATGAATGGGTGCTGTACCTTATCAAATGCTTTTTCTGCATCTTTGATATGATCATGTGATTTCTGTCTTTGCTTTTATTTATGTGATGTATTACATCTACTGATTTCCGAATATTGAACCATCCTTGCATCCCTGGGATGAATCCCACTTGGTCATGGTGTATGATCTTTTTTTTTTAAGATTTTATTTATATATTTTTAGAGAAGGAAGGGACGGAGAAAGAGAGAGAAACATCAATGTGTGGTTGCTGGGGGGTCATGCCTACAACCCAGGCATGTACCCTGATTGGGAATTGAACCTGAGACACTTTGGTTCGCAGCCCGTGCTCGATCCACTGAGCTGTGCCAGCCAGGGCTTGATCTTTTTAATGTATTGTTGGATGCAGTTTGCCAATATTTTGTTGAGGATTTTAGCGTCTATGTTCATCAGTGATATTGGCCTGAAGTTTTCTTTCTTTCTTGTGTCTTTATCTGGTTTTGGGATTAGGATGATGCTGGCTTCATAAAAAGAGTTTGGGAGTCTTCCATCTTTCTGGATTTTTTGGAATAGTCTGTGAAGGATAGGAATTAGCTCTTCCTTAAATGCTTTGTAGAATTCACTGGTGAAACCATCTGGACCCGGACTTTTGTGTGTCGGGAGTTTTTTTGATTACTGCTTCAATTTCATGTGCTGTTATTGATCTGTTCAGGCTTTCTGCTTCTTTTTTATTGAGTTTTGGGAGATTATATTTTTCTAGAAATTTGTCCATTTCACCTAGGTTTTCAAATTTCTTGGCATACCATTCTTCATAGTAATTTCTTACAATGCTTTGCATTTCTGTGGTGTCAGTTGTAATCTCTCGTCTTTCATTTCTGATTGTGTTTATTTGGGTCCTTTCTCTTTTTTTGTTGATGAGCCTGCTTAAAGGCTTGTCGATTTTGTTTACCTTTTCAAAGAACCAGCTCCTGGATTCATTGATCCTTAGAATTGTGCTTTTTCAGTCTCTATGTCATTTCATTCTGCTCTGATCTTGGTTATTTCCTTCCTTCTGCTTGCTCTGGGCTGTCTTTGTTGTTTTTCCTCGAGTTCTTGTAGACGTAGGGTTAGATAGTTTGTTTGAAATGTTTCTATCTTTCTTAGGTAGGCCTGTATCGCTATGAACTTCCCTCTCAGGACTGCCTTGGCTGTGTCCCATAAATTTTGGGTTGTTGTGAGTTCATTTTCATTTGTTTCCAGAAACTTTTTTGATTTCTTCCCTTATTTCATTCTTGACCCATTCATGGTTTAATAGCATGCTATTCAATCTCCATGATTTTGAGTGTTTTGGGTTTCTTCCCTTGGGGTTGGTTTCTAGTTTCAGTCCCTTGTGGTCAGAGACAATGCTTGGTATAATTTCAATTTTCTTAAAATTGTTGAGGCTTGCTTTGTGTCCTATCATGTGGTCTATCTTTGGAAATGTTCCATGTGCATTGGAAAAGGATGTGTATTTTGCTTCTTTGGGATGCAGGGCTCTATATAAATCCATTAAGTCCATTTCCTCTAGGGCATTGTTCAATGCCACAATATCTTTATTGATATTTTGTTTGGAACATCTGTCTGTTTTTGATAGTGGGGTGTTATAATCCCCTACTATACTTGTGTTGCTGTCAATATCCTTCTTAAAGTCCTCTAAGATTTTCTTTATGTATTTGGGTGCTCCTATGTTGGGTGCATATATATTTATAATATTTATGTCTTCTTGGTGAATTCTTTCCTTGAGTATTATGAAGTGACCTTCTGGGTCTCTTTTTT